TTCTCCTCCTCCTTCACCACCTCCGGCAAAATCCCCCCCTTGACAAGCCTGACCGGATGCCACCACCCCAACGCCGCAATCGCCGCCCACATCGGCACCGCCTCGAGCACATACAGCATCCACTCATTCCGAAACGGGTATCCGTCAATCCCCAGCGCGAACTCCACCACGCGGTACACGCTCCTGATCTCGATGGCCACGCTCGCCACCGCGACGCCCAGCAGCAGCTGTTTGATCTCCGGCTCGAAGGCGCTGCTGCCCACACTTACACTTGCACTTCCATTTCCATTTCCACGTCCCATGGCGGCGAGAGCCCGCACGCGACAGACGAACAGCCAGAGCAGGGCGACGAAGGCGGTGAAGGTGGCGAGCTGCAAGGCGAGGCCGAGCAGGAGGATGTTGGTGCCGGTGCGAGGCTGGAGCCGCCGGCCTGGGTGAGGAAGGAGAGGATGTCCGAGGTGATGAAGAGGCGGCCGAGCCAGAGGGGGGGGATCTTGAAGAAGGTCTGGGGCCGAGACGGGTGCGGGCTCGCGCTCGGCGTGGAATCGTTCGCGTTGGGCGTCGTGGTGGTGGCGGTGCTGGAGGTGTGGCGGTTGTTGAGCTGAGCGGGAGGCAGCGCCGGATCAGCCGCGCCAGGAGGAGGTACAGCGTCGCGCACACGAAGATGGGCGCGATGACGATCTGGCTGCTGCTGGAGGCGTAGAGGCCGATGTCGCGGTTCTGCTGGATGGAGGAGATGCGCAGCGCGTACCCGGTGGTGGAGAGCCCGGCGGCGAGGGCGGTGGGGATGGTGTAGTTGTGTCTGCATCCGCAGGCTCGGCTGGTGCTTGGGTTGGGTCTGTGGCGGCGAGGGTAGATAATGTGCATGTAGGTGTGGTGGATGGCTAAGAGACCATAAAGGACGGTGAAGAGGATGGCGGCTGCAATGGATGGGGAGAAGGGATAGATTGAGAAGGGGGCGTCAGCCATGCTGGTGGTGGTGGTGGTTCTTCACCCAAAGAAGAGGTGTTGCTGTGGTAGAAGGGATACTAATATATTATTCTCAACTATGGGAGGATCTGCTGCTAACAGACTCGACCGGTGGGAGACTGGGTCGTCATCTTTATATCCTCCCTCCCCTTTCCCCTGTCTCCCATAGAAGCAAGTACGAGGTGCTGAGCCATTTTTTAGGTGCTCCATGACAGCACCTGTGGTTCTGGCTGTGCCTTGGGCGCACCCATTTCGAAGATACGGCATCGCTGAAACAAAGTCCCCCAGGCTCTCAGAGCGAGAAACCGACGTATTGCAAGCAATGTCAGTGCCAAGGCCTGGCTGGGCGCCCTTTCAACTCAGGCTGTTGGAGCATTTGCCAATCTAGGCACAGAATTCGTACGACGAAGGAGCGGTGGGCATGTGTGCTGCCCAAACGGTAGAAAGTGTGATTTGTCCATTTCTCGTGGAACAATAATAGCTAAATAGGGAAGGCGGCAGATTCCAGGAGAGCCTCGCACGTATTGCCATAAAGGGGATGGCTCAGATCTGCACCCGGATACGAATACGTGGCGGCTCTAGTTGGCAGTCTGCGCCACGCTGATCCCCGTGCTCCAGGCTCGACTTGCCTTGAGCAGTCGATGGTATCGCGCTGGGTGCGGCTAAAGGCAGGTATGCACGGGGAGGCCGTGTTGCCTACACGTCAGCTTCGCCCTTTGTGGCAGTGGGTCCGCGACAGTCCTCACCTAATATCAACCTCTTCTGCTCTGTTTCTCTTGTGCTAGGGAGGAATCTGACCGGCGAATGACATGGATCGTTCGAACTTTTCCATCCCCCACCGTGCAATAAGCCGAGAGTCCTCTGGCACGCAACCAGGCGTACGTCGAAACAATCTTCGATCAAGCCCCTAATGTGATAGAGGGTTGTGCGACGGGCATTGGTGTGTCAATGGTTGAAGAGTGCTGCAACCTGCTGACGTATGCTCTTCACATGGACTGATTTGTAAAATAAACTGTTATAAGTGTTTTGAGGTGGCTTTGCCCAAGTAACATTCAGCTCAGTAGTAGAGGCAAAAGACCACTCTCATATCCATATCCATTCATCGGTCATGTCTGGGTAAACTTGCGAAGATGGGCTGGAGGTCTAAGGCAGATTTTGAGGTGTCGACAGAGCGCAAGACTCCTGGTAAACGCTGACAGCCCGCCAGGGGGGTAGAAATCGCAGGAATACTCTAGAGACAGCGAAGCACATGCTCAAGCCAGACAGCGTGCATCATGCGAAAAGTTGATTACGAACTATCGAGCAGTTGTCTCGATCTTCTTTCCTGTCTCCACGCACCTCGAGCCCGATGCAGCTTGGCGGACATTGGATTACTTGAAGCCAGACTTCGTGTCCTTAAACTCATTGATAACTTGGTCATGCATGACGAACAAGCTTTCAGGAAGCAATGTTAAGCTGTAAAGAACTAAGCGGCACTGTTATGGCCAATAAGCATAGATGAATGCTTGAGAAGCCAATGACTTCATCACAACAAAAGGAGGCTTCAAGGATATTTGACGAATGATAAATCTTTACCAAGATTTCCCTGTGAAAAAAGGACATCAGATGTTGAAAGTGGGATTCTTCTTCGGGCTAAAAATACGCCCGCTCTTTACTACGTACTACTAGTTACGGGGAAGGCTTGAAGTATCGCTAGTCTGGTGCTAAAAGCAGCTAGTTTTGCTTACGTAGATACAGCCCTATGATTCGTCATTGTAAAGCTTGTTTTGTGTGCAATCATTCTGAATGAGTTTAATCATCACATCTAATTTCTTTCAGACATAGCTGATCTGTACAGATGACGTTTACGAGTAAAGATACTAGCGCTGAACTACATTACTTCAAGGGCCCCGTAGTACAGAGTCTTTTTGGCTGTTCTCCTTCCGGCTTTCTTGAAATATGGATGTTGGTGTAAGAGCCGGTGATATTTGATTGGAAAAGCAACAGTTTAGAGCCTACTGGATCGTTTTACTCTGAACTAATGCACCCATCCTCGTGTTGATGCATTTCCAGGCAGGTGATGTGCATAACAAGGTCGAACTTAGCCTGCAATGGACAGGCTCATGACCATGGTTCAGGCTCTGGCAAGCAACTTGACACACGCAGTCCTCCAGCGCCTCATTCGAGACTACATTCAACACTGAATATAATCTCACTCCATAGAACAGAGATCGTTACACAGAATTTGCCAGCGAAATTTCCTTTCGAAAGTCTTACCGTATGTCTTACATCTGTTGGGTCTCCTTATGTAGGTCGGAACCGAAGGCGATGAGCATTTTGAAAACTAATTGATACTGTTGCTGGTCGGAACTGGCTGTTGAGAAGCTTTTTCGAGACGTCATTCTTGTTCTCTAACAACTCAAGTATCCCGCGCTTCGATATGAAATTACCTTAGCTACGCAACACGGTACTTGTTCCACTGAAGGGAGATGCCTTTTAGGCCAACCGCTCGTTTTGGTGTCTGCGATGTCCCCTGTCTTCCGACTGTCGCAGCAGCGCGATGTAGCTATCTTCTGACTGTCGCAGAAGTTCCAGAAGTGAATAAAGCATGCCCCTCTGCGATCTTGGCTATGCCCTGACCAATTTCAACGACGAAATCACATCAATGAAAGCCTGTGATATCTAGATCCTCCCGCTAGATGTTGTCTTTCTGCGAGAACAATCGTCCAGGTACTTTATACACGGTGTATAGAGGAATTTCCACTTCAATCAGCGCCTTTCTCTTGAGCGATAGGCCTCCATAATTATAACCATGTGCATGTTCAGTATGCGCAGCGGCATTGACAGATAGAGAGCCACGCAGCATCATTCGCTAACTTTCTGCCAGCTGGGAGTCCCTATACCGGAAAGAAGAGAACATGCCACAGTCACCTTAGCACATCTTGCTTGCACTATGATGCTGCTCTGTTGTCCCACCTCTAAAAAAGAAACCTACATGTTCCTTGTCAGAGCAGTGTGCCATACATTCTCCACATGCGAAACTACCACGCCATACATGCAGCAAAAAGATTGGATGGTCAGAATCATCTGCTAAGGCCACACCGCCACCTTAAATCATAACATTCCTCCCTCAAAGCTTTTCTCCTTTGGTCACCGAGTATCGGAGGCCTTCACCCTAGTTGATTAGATACTGTTCCACGACGCATCTTCTAGTGCCTATATAGTAGGCTATGTTCAGCATCCGATTGAAGCGTAGCCTACTTTTGGCATCGCGCTGCGTACGTTCGATCAAGATACGATCTAGTACGGAGTTGTGCATGTAAGGGTTCCCTCTCTAAAGGCGGTAAATTACGTGGCGCTAATTTCAGCTAGAGTTTGCTAGCAGCGTTCTAGTTTTAGCGTACATTAATGACTTTTGACAGTATGCTGAGGTGCATTAGTGCCTATTTCAACCTAACCAAATCTCATCCGTGTGTCAGGAGTATGGACTGTGCGCTCCCCGCATGCGTGAAGCATGCGTCAAAAGACTGGATTATTACCGAGGAATAACCATCTCATGTATCTGCACTTCTGGGCATTCCCATCACCGTGTCGGAATCCGGCCCTGGGCCGGGTTGCTAAGACTATCAAGCCTGATTTACTAACTTACAGAGTAAAAGTTTTCATTTTCTTGGGAAAAAGGATCTTACGAGATTTTTACAAATATTGTTATAAAAGCTGGTATTTATAATCTCTTGATAGGTTCTTAGCAATTTGTTGGTACGGTACAACACCACAACAGTGTACTCCCTACTAGGTCAGGACTCCTAAAATTCGGCCCCGCTTGCAGTGCAACACTCACAACATCCATCATCCAACTCGTTTGGTAAGTATGAATCCAACACCTTAATCAATTCTTCTGACTTGCACCCTCATAGCCATGGTTGGTTTATGAGAGGCATGCTCGGCTCATCTCTGGTAGCACGACCAGAAAGTGTGAACCTCTGAAACATGTTGTAACGAATCTGGTACGAATATTGCAGTGTGGGTCCGCTTCAGATTATCGAAGCTTATACAGGGAGGCCAATGAAGCTTTTCGTCCACTTACCCGCGGCTGGCACATGTCACCAAAGTTGCCTAAACAGGGACTTGGAAACACGTGTACCTACTTTTTGTCTCGCGTCAGCAAGGTCGAGATGTACGTACAGCATGCATGCAGCATACAGGTTGCGTTGCTTACTGGTCACCCTTGTGGGCAAGCTCAGACATCTAAAGTGGCATCAGCGGCATTTCTGGGTTACTCATCCTGTGATTGTGTGGTGGGAACTTTCTTCATGTCCACCGCGTCAATTGGTCATTTTCGGAAACGAAACATGTCTCGTCAAAGTCGTCAAGACTCCAGAACACTCTTTCAATCCGTCCTGGGGTCACAAAAGGTGCCGTGTGCATGACCCCGGTAAGCAAGGGACATTTCATTCGCTGTCCATTTACTGCTTCGGTGGCATGTTTCCACATTGGTGAAATCGACTAGCCCATCAAAGAAGGGTGGGCAGAAACACCTTCTGCATGTATCCCTGCTGATCACAACGATAACGTGCTTTATGATATGAGCCCTGGACTTGTTTTTCTCTTACTCTCCCTGGGCTTTCGATAAGACCCTTTCATCCTGTGGATCATCCTTCAGTCCAGCATATCACCAACTCGCAACCAGTCTCCATATCTCTCGGGTTGGCTAGGACCGGAATCTGTGTTTGTTGGTACATCGGGTCGCTCCAGTTTTGGATTGGGCATCACCAAAGATGGCCTCGCGACAAAGGCTATCACGTTTAGATACTGCTCTCGACCAAGATACGCAACCTCAAAAGACATCACGGTGGCAAATACCAGTTTTACCAAAGTTCTCACGACAGATGCGAGCGCAACAGAGACCAGCACAGGGGCAGCCAATAGAGCAACAGCAAACACAATGCGCGCCAGATCCCTTGACCCCTATGGCCGGTCCCAATCAAAAAGTGCAGTCGCGTCAAATTCAGCAGACAGCCGTATCTGCTAACCAGACCGTCCCCGTCCCCGTCCCCATCCCAGCACCAGCACTGGGACTGAGACCAATCAAGGTCAGACCGTCTGAGCAACAACCAGCACAAGCAGCACAGGCACAAGTAGTCAAAGACGACGAGAACAGAGAGACGGAAATAAGAGGGTTTCTTCGTCGCCAGCACAAGATCCTTCTAACAGCCATAGATGCCATCCAACGGGACCGCCAGATTATGGCCCAATCCCAGGAGACCATCGATAGTATCAACGCAAAATCCTGTGGGAATTGGCGGCAGATGTCAGCGACTGATGTTAAGGATTTGAGATCAGAGAAAAACAGGAGAAAGCTTTGGAAACGTGCGATCGAGGAAAAGATGGAAGCTTGCAGAAAGATGATCGAGTCGATGGACAAGGCCGAGGCGGAACTGAGGACGATTCGGCCATTGACGAGGGATGAGAAAAGGAACGATGCCTATGTTTCCAAAGAACAGAGATTGGCGGTTGGAGCGCCGGTTGAGGGGGTGGGCAGGGAGTCTGTTAAGGGTAAATGGTGTAGTTCCTCTGGCGCCATGGAAATATGGGAAAATGATCTACGACTTGCGTATTATTGATTCCTAGGTTTTGAAGGACAAGTAGCTTCTATTATGGTCTTGTACGGGGGGTTGCTCTTTTAATACCGAACCACCATAGGTTTATTACTATCGATTCCTTTACCCCAAGCACCTAAATCTTGGAGTGCTGACCCTTGAAACGTCACTATCCTTCAGGTGACCTCTCTGCTACGGAGGCCACTCTCTTGCTCCAGCACAACAGCAATATCTAACATGCCTGTTGTAGCAAGCAAGATATTGAGACCTTGACTTGCATTACGTTTATATTACAAATATGTCATTCTTCAACCTGTGAAAGAACTGGTAATCTAAGGGTCAAAAGTCAGATGAAAATGATTATGAGATGTATACTTTGCAGTGTAACCATAAGATATATCTCAAAACATTTGTCACATTTCTTCAGGTAACTTACTCTCCCTACTGCTAAATATGGCAAGCAGATTGCTCGAAATGTGGGAAAATTTTTGCAGTGAGTGATGATCCATTCCGGTGTCTTGGCGGACCACTGATTTTGTTCCCCCCTAAGACTATCTACAACCGATACCCTCTTTTTGTACGTTACTAAGGCTAGGTCCATCTCAACTGAACTGTCTCACTTGGTTGGAGCATAACTCTCCTGCCTGTGCTTACCATCCATCATTCAACGTCGCAGGCAACCAGATTACTCAACTCCGTCTGGATCCCAATTGGGGATGGGAGCAATGTGTTTGCGTGGCTGGTGACCCCTGTGAAGCTCTACGCGATGCATGAAGCTGCACTCAGCTGTGGGGACTCCGTCGCATCGTCTGGCGAGTCTAAACAGGAATTTGGCCGTACAGAGGCTTGCCGAGGATCCACATAAGCCGCTGATAATTTACTGCAAGTTCAGCGTTCTGGCTGAGATGAACCTTTGGAGCGTGACTGACAGCGCCTATAATTCATGGGATAGGCTAACTCCCAATTATTGTCTGGTTGGCCTAGCTCATGATGAACCATGCCGGGACAATAGGCCAGCTCAAGAGAACCGATACATATAACTAGAATGCTTTCGTCCATTGACTCTAATCATACCTTCGTCCTGGCCTTCGACTATCGAGGTTCTGGATGAACGAAAGGATGCAAACTGAGAAAGATGTACTCGAGGATGCCGTAGCGGTGGTGAGGTGGGCACTCGACGTCGCTCATGTGCCCTCAGCACATTGTCTTTGTTTCACAATCCCTAGGCACCGCTATCGCAACTGCAGTGGCAAGCTACTTCATTAATTAAACACCACGTATCGAGTTTGCAGGTGTTGTCCTCTGCGCACCATCTGTTGGTGCCCCTACTGCATTTCAGAATTACCCAATTGCTGGAGTCTTTTGAAGAGTAGATTCGATAACCACACTGCCTAGCCCACATGGCAACCAATACAACTCAATAGCCAAGTCCCAAAAGGCAAGAAGTATTACGCACAACACCGATATCTAGACAAGATCAATCTATCCGACGAGCTTTAGAGATTGCAACGGCGTCGGCTGGAGCATGCTCTATTGGAAATATGACCTTGTTCCCTGCCTCCTCGAGCCTCTTCAACGCCATCAAACAATCGTCGACCACGTTATAGCCAAAGTTATATTCGTGAAACTCTTGTTGGTTTGTAGGTACCTTGCCATTCACATATGGTTTCGCATCCCTCTGGATCTTTTCTGCTTCATCTTGCCCAGCATTTGAGAAGATTTGAATCGCTGCTGTTCGATTTTTTCGGATTTCTTGGAACAAGTGAAGGCGATCTGCAATGCAAGAATCTATGTGGCCTCCTTCAGTCACAATTTCAGAGCCTTCACTTGATGATCTCGGGCTATCCGTCTCAGTATGTGGGAAGCAATCTGCTTCCGGAATATGAGAAAGGAGGACACCCAAAGCGGCGCCGTCTTCTAATGCTTGAGCGCCCCCTTGCCCTTGGTGTGGAAGCATAGGGTGGGCTGCGTCTCCAATGAGAACAGCTCTACCCTTGGTCCAGATCGGGTTCGGCTGTCGAAACAACAGCGGCCACAATTTGATGTCTTCTGCCTGGTTGCAAATCTCCACAAGAGCAGGATGAAATGCCTGGTATGTCGTCAAGAGATCATCTTTTGATGCTGGGGCGTCCCAATCTTCGACATTGGTAGAGTATCGTTCATCGGCATGGATCAAGGCAAAGTTCTGTACGGTGCCGTTGCGACAAGGGTACCAAACCATCCGTCTGTTTCCCAGGACTGCAACGCGTATACCGGATGGCTCTGATTCAGGGAAGATGGTAGCGGTCAGAGGATTCGCCCGTAACTTTTCGGTTGGTATTAGGAATCGAAAAATGGACTGTCCTGTCCGTCTTGCTGGTGAAATGTCATCGGAAATCTTATATACAAATCGTGAGTGAACCCCGTCAGCAATGATGATTACATCTTTGCGAAAATGCTGACCATCAGCAAGTTCAATGAAGCCAGTTTCACAGTCGATGTCCATAACTTCAGCCGACAATCTGATCTTCGCAGCCCGAAAGCCGGGATTCAAGCCCGGCTTCTGTGCCAACTCCTTTAACCCAGTGTGCATATCAACACGATGAAAGAAATGGCCCGTTGCGCTGTAAGTGGACTCCCAGTCTTCATATGTGGCGAAGTACGTTGGTTGCATGGTGTCTCCTTTCATGACCGTACCACAGCCAAAAAGGTCCGCACTGGCACGTTCAAAGTCGAATCCGTACTGTCGAAGTACCCTAGTCGCATTGGGGCAGCAATGGATCGCGGCACCGACTTCGTTTGCGAAACGAGACCGTTCGAAAACCTATGCAGAAAACTTGTTAGCATTCTATGCCAACTACAAGCTATGCCACTGACAATCTCCAGCGGCGCAGAATCCAACAAGTACTGACCTCGACATGGTGTCCTGCTTGGCCGAGGGCTATCGCCGCACCTAAACCAGCAATACCTGCGCCTATGATACCAACGTCAAGTCGTCTCTCACCTGGGCCAGGCGTGAAGCCAACTGGCCTTGTCCCAGCATCAACTCCCAACGCCATATGTAAAGTGATGTACAGTCAATCAAGATTACAAGAGTCTTAAGATCAACAATTCGGAGAACCTGCTCCATTTCAGATGCCTGCTCGGAGGATCACCTAGTCTCCAACATTCCGCGGGTTACACATGGTTGCACAAATGACATCCGCCGGAGTCCGCGCGTAGCTTCATTGTAACTCGTCAATGATGACCAGTATACCGCTGTAGCTAAGGATGAGAAGACCATGCATAGACTTTTAGGTTTGTTCCTAGTAGTCTTGGATGGACAGCCTGGAGAAATGTGTCTGCCTCGAGGGCCCGATGTGGAAGAATCCTCGGCTAATGACGATGGAGATACCACATCCAGATCATGCATATTTGCCATCAAAGACCGCGCTGTTCGAATGCCCAAACATTCTATACTAGAGTGTATCTAAAAGTCTGCGTAGTTAGCTCTGTCTAGGTCTCCTCAATAAAAGTACCAATTAACTAGGCATCAATGCGCTCCGAAAACAGAAGTTGCCTATTTGACGACAAGCCGGGGGCCCTCGGATTTGCCAAGGCCATCTCCAATTCTTGGATGCGGAGACAGCTAGTACGGCGAGACTTTGTTCAGTATCAACACAACTACGTAGTAACTACTCCAACTCGCAAGAAGCAAGTCTTCATGACCAATCATATCGACCTCTCAGAACTTTGATATGTCCATCCATAAGCATGACGCCCAACACAGCAGCCTCACCAGCAGCCGAAGTACAAAACCTCCTCCGCTTCCTCTCCCAGGATGCCCGCGTCCCCCTCTCCACCGCTCTCTCCAAGATCAACGACCTCCGCAAAGCCAAACTCAACACCCCCGAAGCAATTTCAAAAACTAGCGTCACTTCCATCAGCCGCGTGTTCTCCGGCGACGAGAAGCTAGCCAAGCAAATCCTCGCAGCAGCAAAGCGTGCCTCGAATCCCAAGTCCAAAAAGCGCTCTGCTTCTGGTAATGGGGATGGGCAAGTGGCATCAAAGCGGGCGAAGGGCCCAAATGGTTATTCGCAGCAGCAGTCCCCAGCCGAGCTGGAAGCATCCCTCGCCCTCCCTACCTCGACTCTGTCACTTTTAGAGTTACAATCCATAACTGTGCAGACGAACCGCGCGCCCCTCTTTCTGGCCTTTGCGGTGACGCTGCTGAAATACACGATGCCGGAGCAGCCGTTGAGTAGTCGGTTAAGCCTTGCCCAGGCGGTCGTTAGTGCGAACAGCAGGACGAAGGCGAAGAGTATCGGGTTGGTTGATGGGAAGAGTGCGGAGGATGAGGGGTGGGGGCATGGACAGCCCAAAGTGAGAGTGATGGGGAGGATGGTGTCGGTGATGAGAAGGCACGGATATTTTCTTGACGGGAATAGAGAGGATGGTGGAGGTCAAGGAGAAGATAGGAACGATGGAGATGGGATTAAACAAGAAATAAAAGATGAAGGAAATGAGGCCCCGGTAAAACAATACCAGCGGTTCCCAGAGGAGAGTATGGAGAGCAAGGAGCTTCCCTTATGGGGTCTCGACCTCGAAGCCCTCAAAAAGCTCAACAGCAACATCAACAGCTCACCACCTGTCCTCGCCCCCTCGAGCAACAAGACCTCTGCCAACGCGAATCCAGGCCTACCAATCCACACCCCCCAATCCGCACGTTCCTACCTCCTCAAATCCTTCACCCAGGTCCAAGACCAATCTCGAATCCAAGACCCCTCTTCAACCAGCTCAGACCCGTCAAAACCCGCACCCTCGTCACCTAACCCGCCTCCTAAATCCGTAACCATCTCCTCTCAAAAAGGGAAATCGGGAGCCCCTCCCTCATCATCCCAACTCGCCTCGCAAAAAGAGGAAGCCCTGTCCCACGTCCTCGCTGCGCTGGATATCCTCTTCTCTTCCTGGGCTCGCGAGACGGTCGTAGAGCGACAAGAACTGGACAGAAGAGCATGGGATTTCTACATCCGCGTCCGACCAGACGTCGAGGCGGGAGTTGGTGGGTGGGGCCAGAAGGGACATGTACCGCTCAGGCGAATCTTGGAGCTTAGGAAGTTAGAAGAGGTGGGGGCGAAGTTGGGAGAGGGATAAGAATCTTGTTTGGTAGGGAGTGAGGGGAGAGAGGTGAGCAGAAAAGAAGGCATAGGCTGAAGGGGGCCGTGAGGGAAGTCGGGGTCGGGCGGTCCAGTGTCTTGTCTGTGGTGTGTGCTTTCTCCTTCTGGAGAACATGGTTAGTGTGGAGTTGCACTGGTAGAGTAGCGAAGTAGTGGTCGTGAAGTCAGAGCGAGCATGAGTATGCCCGTTCTATTTTAAGTAGTTGATGTAGTTGATGTCACTTTAGGTGGGTCTCTAGAACATCCTTTAATGGCACTACTCCCCGGAATGTTCTCTTATGATACGGAGTCGTGCATCAATACACAATAACTAGGATAAAGTACTCCGTAGAGCAAGCTGCTTTTGCAGTAGTGGCATGCTAGTCTCTACTTGCGATGTGAGCTATTAATAGGCCAAATGCCTCAAGCTTAGCCGACATAGGTTGTGAGTTAAGCCTAGCAGCCCTAAAAGAAGGCCGAGAGGCCCTAGAAATCTCTGGGGACGGTTAGGGGTCACTGTAGGGGCTCCCTCTCCACAGGACACGAATTACGCAGTACTAACTTCAGCTAGAGCTTGCTAGCAGAGCTCTGGTTTTAGCGTATTTTGATGACTTTTGATGCACGACTCTGTACCTGCTAAAACAAATATCTCCTTGGAACACTCTCCGAAGGCACTTTGTTGGGGCTTCTTCCAGGGGTACCCCCCCACGTAGTACCCTTGCTGTTGGTTGACTACTATACTCCTCCAACACTGTGCGAATTCATATAAAGTTGGGATAGTCTAGAGCCATTTCAACCCTTCCACCTCATCACACCCATCCATACTAATTTGGAACATCCCCCATCCCTCAAGGGGTTTTCTAATACCCATAGGCCGTGTGATGTATGCATTAGCGAGGAGAAATGCCCGTAAGCTAGGATGTCGGTTATTTAGTTAGTTATTCCTACGGTGTGCTAGACGAGCATCATGTTTGGCTGTGGTCTACTTCCGGAATGCGTTCAGAGCGGTATATTCAGAGCGGTATATTCAGAGCGGTATGTTCAGAGCGGTATGTTCAGAGCGGTATATTCGGCACCGGTACTTGTATTCGAGGTGCCGTATGTTGTAGTCTTTGAACGACCAACATCTACAAGCAACCCTTCGCTTGGGGCTGTGATCCGTCTTTCGTCCTTTGCTCCGGACATCCGCCGGTCCTTTCTCTACATGGTCCGGGCTCAATCCGCTGCTTACTACGTATTATTCTTGTACCCGGTAACCATCTTACTAGTTATTAGATGTTAGGTTGTGCTACGACATTCAGTCTTCCAAAGCACTTCTCGAACCCGGCTTCTATTTACGTTGCAAGCGCATCTTCTACATCTCGCAGCGTGATGTACGGCCCTTATGTTTGCCACAGGCTGTGGGATCCTCATTGACCAATAGGTGTGGCAACCTAGAGGATCCTTTCACTCTCTTTTACTCAAAGTTAAAACCCCTTGAGTATATAATGGGAGTAATGCCCGGATTACATGCTCTTCAAATCATGTGGATAGCTTTTCGAATCGTTTTTTCTTCCTCAAGCCATCTTGGATAAAGGCGTCGTGTCCGGTCATCAGATCTATCATTCCAGAACAACACCTCACTCCATAATGGCTTCAGGTCCACCCAAGAAAGTCGCCATCATTGGCGCAGGGCTAGCAGGCCTCGGCCTGGCACTGGCCCTCCATGCAAGGTCAATTCCTTGCACCATCTATGAACTTCGACTTCCGTCTAAGGTGACCACCGGCGCTCTCATGCTCTCACCCAACGCACTGGGCGTCCTGGATTCATTGGGCGTCTACGAACGAATTCGGAACAAAGGATACAACTTCGAAAACATTGCCTTCAAGAACGACAAGGAAGAAACGACTGATCTGTATCCCCTTGGCAATGAGAAGTTGTATGGATACAAGGCCCTTCGGATCTATCGGCAGGTTCTGCTTACCGAACTACGAACGATGGTTCAAGAACGCGACATCCAAGTCATCTACGAGAAGAAGTTCTCCCGCGTTCTCCAGGAATCTGCCGACGAGGGCGTGACGTTTCAGTTTGAGGACGGCTCAACCGCTCAAGCTGACTTGCTCGTCGGCACAGACGGAATTCACTCGACTGTCCGCCAAAAAGTGTCTCCCTCCACCACTCCACTCTACTCCGGCATGTTGGCCATCACCTGCGTGATTCCAACCTCGAAACTCCGTTTCCCAGCCGACAAGGACTACTCGACCCTCCCCGTCGCCATTCACGGCAAAGCGGGAACCTTTATCTTCGCGCCCCAGGACGTGGACGGATCCGAAGTCCTCGCCGGCAGCCAGAAGCGATACCCGGAACAAAGCAAAGCCGAGTGGTCGCGCCTCTTTGGAGCCAAAGACGAGCTCCTCGCCCTGCTCTCCGCCAACCGGGCCGACTGGCCCGACATCGTGCAATCCGGCCTGGAAAACGTCCCCAAGCACACCCTCTCCATCTGGCCCTTCTACATCGTCCCCAAACTCGCCGCCTGGAGATCGGAGAAACAACGCGTCATCATCCTCGGCGACGCCGCCCACGCCATCCCCCCCACCGCCGGCCAAGGTGCCAGCCAAGCGTTCGAAGACGCCTTCACGCTGGCCTTTCTCCTCTCCAGGCTGTCGCCGCAGATCCAATTGGCCGCCGCGCTCGAGTTCTGGCAGAACTACCGGCAGGAGAGGGTTGACCAGGTGATTGCGCTGACGCAACAGCTGAATAATATGAGGTTGCCCGCCGCAGAGCGGGAGAAGCTGGGCAAGGGAGAGATCTGGCGGAGTGGAGATGAGGCGCAGTTGGAGTGGCTCTATGTTCCCAGGATTGAGGAGAGGTTGGCCACTTGGGTCGAAGAGGCGGAAAAAAGAGAGGGAGGTGAGGACGGGACAGTCCAAAAAAGCTTGATATCGTGAAAGCCACTGAGAGTTCCCTGTTTTTCTAGATAAAAAGTCAAAGCTCAACCCACCCTTCCGGTATCTCATCCGTTGAAAGGAATCATTAGATCTAACTCTTTTTTTCACCCCCCCTTTATTGTTTGCGTATCCAGAGACATTTGGGCATCCGTCAAAAGACCATTCACGTCGAGGTTTCCACGGTCCGTATCCATGACCCGTGCCACGGGTCCGACTGCACGATATCCTGCCCTCCTCATCATATCCAGTTCCCGCTGGAGACAGGCTTGTTGGTATGCAAGAATTTTGTACCTGTAGACATGCACTGTGGCTCCAAGGCCAAGCACTTCAAGGCTTCTGGAATCGCGCCCGCAGATCCCGTGCGAAAGGACGGCTGATTGTTCAAGTATGCTTGTTCTGGAGGTTATTGACATGATGGGAAGATGAAGAGGCTGCACGAGTTAGGACTGAAGTGACTTTTGACAATTGAAGTTTTATCCTCTGTGGAAGGTAGAGAATACTTACAGTGTATACGAGCCTGAGATGTTTAGCCGCTATTCAGGTACTTTAATACTTCGAATCAGAAAAACAAATAGTATCACTTTAGGCCCTTGTCATTGGCTTCATAAAAGACTATTACTCAACAAGACAGACATTGACGCTGGCATTCTTGAACGCTGACCCAGAGCAGAAGCTCAAGCTTTCTTAAAGAGTACATGGGCAACTCTCGTAAGCAGTGATTGCAACTGAGTACAGACACGAACACACTCACCCCCACGCGCCGGTCATCCCTACATCTTTTTTGATGCCCTGGCTTGAATTTTCTTGTTCTTAATGCAGCGCTTCCCTTCTACTGCAGAAACCCTCCCTACCAGATCCCGAAAAAAAACCAGAGAATTCATCCTGAACCAATTGCTCCCAAACGTGTGCTCACCCAAGACAAACAGAAACGAGCGGAACCGCCATAAATGAAATAGGAACGCGAATTACGCTTGCCAATTTGAGAGACTTGAAGAGACCTAAACGTTGAGGTTCCCATATTTTTTTTCCATAAGAAGGCGACGATTGCTGCACAGACGTAGCCGGTTCTACCAGCTGATCCATTCACAAGCACAACCGCGACTTAGATCCTCTGCGTCACCTCTCCGTCTAAATCGATTCTGATTATCATCATCCATATCTTCTATTTCCTGTACAGAGATCTGAGCCACATAAGGAACGGGTACAATCTCTCCACTGTCCAAGACTTGCATCTGTTGACAGTATGGTGGAACATTGCCGCGGGGTTTTCGCTTTTCTTCAACCTTCATCAAGAGAGGGTAGTCATCGTACCTCTTCCGTTTTTGCAGCTTGTCATCGCTTCGCCTTCGATTGTAGCCTGACTCGGTAGTGTGATGGTTGACAAAATCCTCAGGCGGCCCATATGGCGAACCTGAAGGCTTTCCTGTAAACGCCGCGGGTGGAGGGAGCGAAGAGCCTAAGGTTGTGCTTGATGGTGTTGTGAAGGTCGAAGGTGTTGTAGAGGGAGATGAGGGAGTAGCAGTGGCGGCGGGGGTGGTTGCTGATGAATTGACAGATTTGTCGACATAAATGAAGAATTCAAGTAATGTCTCATTGAACCAGCAGAACCATGGCTTATCTTCAGGCATTCCATATATGTGGCTGTCATCTTTTCTCCTGTACTGCCCATTTGGTATCAGAGCTTGTTCATGTACTTCAAACATCGTCAGTAATGGTACAAGAGAGCTAAGGGGGAGTCTTACAAATTGTAAGTTTGTCGTAATAAGTGAAAGCAAAGAGAGAGGGACCAAGATCACTCGAATCTTGATCCATTGACGGAGTCAGATCGAGCGGCCGTGTACCAAGGTCCGGTGGTTGTGCTCCATACATGAATGAGCTACTTAACGGGTAAGAGTCAAGAGTAATGCTGGCCCCCCACCCTTGACCTGTCACTGTAATTCCCATCCCAGAAGAAGCCAAACAACCCCAAGTATCAACGAGGGTATGATTCTTGATGCAAGCCTTGGAATTAACCTCGTTGCCGTTTGTGGGAACGTTGTATTGGCCCGTGGGTACAGAGGCCACTGGTTGCCCGGTAGCAAGAGGTACTCCATCAATGAAGGCTGTTGACGTCACCGTCGCAGTGGGGTGGCTTTATGGTCGTCAGTCACAGATACTAACACAGGAGGCTGGGTTCACGAACGATGAATTCTGATAAGGATCAGCAGTAGCACTAGGCGAAGCACCTTTTTGGCTTCCAATCACGCCGCCGATTATTGCACCTAGAACAACTCCCAAGAGGAGCACACCGATGATGACAAAAAAGAACCAGAACGGCAGACCACCGCACACTCTTTGCCTACCCTTCTGCTTGATTTTTTCTTTGAAACCGACGCTGGAGTTACTGCATCCGTTCCTTGAGGAAGTACTGCTCAGCTCGACAACAGTCTCGACATGCTGCGTATGCCGAGATTGGGGTGACATTGGTACTTCCTGTGGCACGACTGCTGGTAAATGGACGGCCTGGATACTTGGAAGGCTCTCCTTGGGTGCAATCTCGTCTGCAAAGCGGGTGTAAGGTGGCAGCTCTTCTATGTGCCCATCGGAACCCACAATGTCGCTGACATCGTCTCGCCTTGTCTGACCTCCACTCCGGTACGGCTGCCCCATACCCGGAAAGTCAACAGGGATTGTCGCCTGAGCGAGAGACGCATCGTCTTCTTCTGGCACTGTGTTCTGCGAATACATGGCATATGGATGCTCCGGGCCATTTGCTGTAACAAATGGGCGTTCAATTGGTCGTACGGTGGAGGCACTGGCGATGCTCGATGTTCGGGTGATTTGGGGGTACATGCCATACGGATGGCTCGGGCCTGTTGCCCCTACGTAGGGGCTTTGAGCTCGAGGCATTGAAAAGTGTGACGATGTACTTGATGCTCTATGTACATCCGAGAATGTGTTTGATGCCCTAGACGCTGTCCGGTTGGGAATGATGGAAAAAACATCTCGATGTCCAAGGAATCTGTGAGATAGTGTAGGGGGTTGTGCCGAGGACGAAACGGACGAGACAGGACTGATGGGTCGACTTATATTTACTCCAGTGTGCAGAGGAGGAGTTTCGGAGGCGGGGGTTGGGTCATCATCGGCATTGAAGGGCGAGCTTCTATCGGTATTAAGCGGCTCGAGGGCATAGTCGTCACTAAAAACATTGGGGTCTGGGATCTGGTGTGCTAGGCTTGAGCCTGACGAAGAAGTTGATCGTTGTGAATTTCGTGGTGACATGGCCAGAGCCGAAGGGGGCTGTGCAAGAGCACCTCCTTAACCTTCAATTCAGAATGATGTGCACCTGAAATGCCGTCAACAATGAAGCATTGGAATGAATTTACTGTCCAGCTGAGCTGCAAGTGACAGCGGCGCGTGTGAAAGGGAACGAATGACGATGACGGTGCGGCAATGAGGAAGAGAAGACGATGAGGTGTGATGTGGTCACTCCCAGGAACTAGAAGCGGAGCCACTAAGTAGGGCTCCCAGGGCTCCTAGTACTGGGTCTACTATCTGTTTTCGTGTGCCCAGGCTCTAGCTTGCTCCGCTGTTCCGCAGCCGATCGGCCGAGTCGCTTCATTGAGAACTTGAGGAGCTGTTTCGAAACACTTCTCCGTCCAGCTTGCTGTGATGATGCAGCTGCCATGGCCCAAAATCCCGTCCATGTGGTCGTCTGAGTCTTGGTCAGTCGTAGCAGAACAAATCCGATTGCATGGAGATGGACCAGAAAAGGGAGTGGTGCCCAAGGTGTAGATAACAGTTGCCTGATAAACAAGTTTGCACAGCAGTAGCAATACTCGGATACACACTGAACAGGTGATGAGATGCATCTGAGAATGAGTAGAGACTTATTATGTCATCATTTCGTGTTCCTAAGCAAATACTAGTACTGATTCTCGCTTTGGGATAGTAGTGAACACCCATCCTGCAAGCAAATCCTGACGCCACTACGTTTTGCGTTCAGCGGTCAGCGTTCAGCGCTGACTACCCGGTGTTCCCTTAAACAGTCACCTTGCCACTAATAGACTGTCCCTCTGTGTCCGAGCTATCACTTGACTTCTCCTTCCAGCTCACATCTGCCTCTCAAAGCATTCAGCATTCAACATTCACAGTTCGCCCTTCATGCTAGCAGTGCTGGCAGAAGCCTTAGCAGAAGCAGTTCGAGCTGCACTGCTAGCTCCAGCAGCTACTTTCTCACCCTCCACACGACCCTGAGTAGCACCAAGCTTCAGCTGCTGCATCATCCAAGACACACCACCCTTCATACGCTCAAAGATCGATGCTTGCGGCGTGCTTGTTCCGTAACGGAAGTACGTCGATTGCTTCTTGGCTTGAGCCTTAAGCTCATTCAGAGTCGAGCCCTGGTAAGTAGGGATGCCGTAGGTGTCGAGATAAGACTTGAGATCACTCTGGGACCAGGTGTCAAAGGTTGTGTCTTTGGCAGCATCGGTTGCGGAAGCGAGGTAAGAGGTAACACTGGCATACGAACTGCCGCCGGATTTAGATGCGCTTGCATAAGCATCCTGTGCTTGCTTAACAAGCTCGTCTCTGGTGGCCTCGGTGTTCTTATGCGCCTTCTTGGTGTTGGTGGACAAATACTTTTTCAAGTTGTCGATGCTCCAGGTATCAAACGTCCAAGCGGAGTATCCGGTAGCGGCCTTGTGCTTGCTTAGTCGGACCTGGGAGAGAAGATCGTCACGCTTGCCACCCTGTGGAACCGGTACGCCACGGCTGTCCAGGAAAGCTTTAAGACGCGAGTCAGACCAAGTCCCAATAGCTTTTTCAAAACCTTCGTCGGCGGTCTCAGATGCAGAGTCTGTAGCTTGAGAAACGACATTGCCGGCTTTGGAAGTCGCAGCACCAAATGCAGAGGCTGCAGATGCAGTGACACTCTCGCCAGTCAAGTGAGCTCGATTCTTGCGTGCAAGGGCGAGCAACTCATTTCGTCGCGAGCCTTGTGGGACAGGAATGTTGTTCTTGTCGAGGAACTCCTTCAGTTTGCTGTCAGACCAGGCATCGAAGAGAGCATCGGACAATGACTCCTGTGCAGCTGTAGCAGAAGATGATGCTGCCTTGGCGTTCTTGGCCATGTTTGCGGAAGCAAGGTGTGCATTACGGCGGACTGATGCGATGAGTTTGTCACGCGTACTTGGTTGAGGGACGGGAATTCCATGCTCGTCCAGGTACTCTTTGAGCTCAGAATCACTCCAGGTGCTGTATAGCCAATCACCAGGATAAGCAGCGTATTCGCCAGCCTTCTTTGCAATAGTATCGTAGTTCTGACGAGCAGTGGTCAAGAGCGAGTCACGAGTGCGTGGTTGGGGAGGAAGAGGAACACCATGGTGATCCAAGAATGATTTGAGACGGCTCTCAGTCCAGCTAGAATAATGGTCAGCCTCTTTATTGCATAGTGGGGGCGTCGTGGTTCAGCCTGTACCTGTCAAAAATCCAGTCCTTGACGCTGTCCAAGGAGTTAGAAGTTGAATCACTGGATTTTGCAACCGGCTGTTGGATCTTGGAATCCCAGTTGCTCTTGACCAAATTCTCGAGCTCTTTCCGATCAGCTTGTGTCGGATAAGGGACATCATGGTCGGAGAGCCAGCGTTCAAGCTCGGTCTCGTGCCATTTGTTGTATGCTAGAGCTTGATGTTAGGCGGTGTAGATGAGCCGAAAGGCGGCGAGCTTGCTTACCAGCTTTGGAGAACCAGGTGCTAGCAACAGCGATTTCGCTTGTCGCGAGCGCAAGCAATAGCAAGCTGGATAGAGAGAACTTCATCTTGTCAGACAAAATAAGGTATTGCAGTAGATGTGTGATGCTGTGGTTTGAAGAAGTTGTGGTTTTATTTTGATTAAGTTTGCTCTAAAAAGAAGACAGAAGTTCGTTGGTGCGGGGATGATGGAATTATTTCGGCCTGGTGACGTAGTGTTCACTCTACGTAGTACAAGGGCTGGCGGCTGTCTTCAGCAGGAGACCGCACTACTATTTATTATAAGCTTGGCTAGTAGCGTTGCCTTGAACCTTGGAAAAGCGAATCCTGGCTTGCTATGGGGGGCCTGAAGTACTAATGTTAGTCTGGTGCTAATAGCAGCTAGTTCTTGATACGATAACGTCATATTATTATTCGTCACTTTAAAGCTTGCTTCTGTGTACATCCATTCTAATGAGTTAAATCATTACATCTTACTTCTTTTTGAGCAGCAGAGCTGTGCTGTACAGAAAGGTTTACAAGTAAAGATACTAGCGCTGAGCTAACATTACTTCAGGCCCCACCCGTAGTACGTCAAGCATCAGCGGTGTGGTTAATGTGTTACTGGTACTCATAGTTTGCCCTCCTCTGCCAGCAACGGCGCCCTCTACTACGTAGTAAGGACTAGTATGTCCTGCTCCACTTCAATGTTTGACCAGTTAACGTCTTATTGGAAGGTAACTTAGTCATTGGTCAAATGGGTAGTAAGCAACTGCACCTCATTACATTCCCCTGCCTGAACACTGGTACTGGCGTGACCTCGAGCTGGTCTTCTAAAGTACCCAACGTAGTCAAAGCTGATAGATCTCGTGTGTAGATATATAAAGCCTTGTAAATGCCGCATCTTAGCCATTTGCCGTTACTTCAGAAGCAACGTACACATCCCATCATTTGTGACAGCTCACGACTAATACCATGCCCAAGTATCCCGACACGTATCTCTCATCCTCAAACTTGTCCTTTGATCTGCAAACCATGTCGATGACATCTGGAATGAGCATAATTGAGCAACCGCTCTCCATCACCGAAACATGGGCTCCTTATCATTCAGATGTCCTTCGTAAGCACCTGTGGCGTGAGGGCCAGCCAAAAGCTTTGAAGTGGTTGGCCTTGGGCCAAGAGACACATGTACGAATACAAAACTTGCGTATAAATAGATTAGTTATTAACAGGAACTGGATGTTATGAAGAGAGCGAAACATTATGCAGTGAGAGTAGTAGTACAAATAGTATATATGGACAACGGAAGGCTCCTCATGAATGGTCTTCTGACGGAACTCCAGACTCCTCCAGATGTCAAAACCTTTGAAAATCGAGTGAAAAAGCCAGTTGAGAAGTACGACGGGGGACATGAATTATTGTTAGTTCAGCGCTAGTATCTTTACTCCAGAACGTTCTTTGTACAAAACAGCTAAGCTGATATCGGACTAAGAGTAAAATTATAGCTCTTTTAAATGGTCTTGCTTAAATCAAGCTGTGCAATAACAAATCATGGCACTATGGTGGAGTAACAGAAACTAGCTGCTACTAGCACCAAACTAACAATACTTATGCCTCCCCCCGTAGTACAGCATCTTCGTAGTAATTAGACTGATTGAGACAAGGAGATGCATTAGTGTGCTGGCTGGAGCGTGCTGACAGGGCCTCTGCTAGTAGGGGAGAGAACGGAGTCATAGTCCGGCCAATCCATATCATCATTACGTTCCTGCCAAGACTGCAGAGGACCCTGACGTCACTAAACTGCATCCGTCGCCAAGACGAAATATCATAACTTCTACGACTCGGAGTATGAAAAGATTCAACTCCAGAGCTGGTGGAGGAGTAGTACAATACGCTGCCAACAATTGTATTTGGTCCGTCACCCCAATCTTCTGCCTATAAGTCGTCAAAAAATACTCTCTGTACACTCTTGCAAAAAGCTCGCAAAAGCCCCTTCAGCGGTCGAAGAAGTACACTTCCCAAGACTCAAACCCAGAGCATAAAAATGCAATCCCTCTTCCGTACGACCGCCCGGTTCGCCCGCCCAAGTCCATCAAACCCCTTGCTGACCCGCACCACCCTCCCAACAACGCGTCTCTATGCCTCCCAATCCTACGGCGGCGACGACATGACCGGGCATGCCAAATCCGACCAACCGAACCCGAAAGCGGACCTCGAGCACCCCGGCCCAGAATCCCCAGCTTCAAAGGGAGGCAGCGCCTCCTCCACCTCCCAGTCAGATGATCCGAAAAAATATTCCCCACCATCGACCCCCTCAGGCTCTACAGGGATCAAGCAGGGAGAAGAATCCACAGACTCGGACCCCAAGACTTCTCATGGCGGTAGTCCTGCGATCAATGATCCGGGCCCGGCGCCCGAGAACCAAAGTGAGGAGGTGAGGAAGCATAATGAGGCGGTGGCTAAGAGTCATGATAGGCCGGTGAATCAGATTGATAAGGATGGGAAGGTGGAGAAGGGGTATTGGCAGGGTGAGTGCTGGGTCATTTGTTTCCTTCTTCTTTCCTTCCCTTGCCCTGTCTTTGGTACAGTTATGGACCTAAAGACGAGAAGCTGACGCACCTAATTGGTAGGTAATGTGGGTCATTAGAGTTGGTATGTGTGGAGCTGATGTAAAGGGATTATTGAATAGTGCTCTTGTGGAGGCTCACACGTCACGAGCCGGCATTTGTACTCTTCTCCTTTATACGAGCAAGTTTCAAAGTTGCACAATGATTACTATCGTTGCTCGATTACAACTGATGTAATTCTTCTCTATTATGATACAAACATGTTGATCTGTTGAGACAGCTCTCTGAGTTTCCGAAGCCCAAATCCATAGCCACAGACTAGCAGTATCCCCTGGATATCACCAACAATGGTGCCCATCATGTCCATCACAAACCCCATAACTCAGGCCTAATACTTATGCTAATCAGGCAAGATTCCATGAACCGTCTCGGTCGTTGGTACTGAAAAACACTCAACCTCTCAACTAGTGACCCTCTTAATCCACAAACCGGTAGAATACCCATAATTACTCTCTTGCTCTTTCTTTTTGAATAATCGGTGCAAGCTCATACCAATACCATGCTCCTCTTGCCTGATCTCGCTTAATTCATCCTCCAATCCCTTGACCGTCTTCTTGACCTCTTCCTTCGTCGCTAGATCGTACGCAAAGCTCGTCGGCTGCACGACGTTACTCAGCTCTTTCAGAATCTGGTTGATGTTGCCACGTCGACGGAGGAGAACTTCCACACGGGCTTCGAGAGCGGCGATACGGTCTTTAGCTTCGACCTCAGGAGGGCATTGGGGAAGTGATTTGGATCGGTCGGCCGGTGGACTGATGGTTGCGGTGGTTGATTTGTGGGCTTAGGTGGCGGCGGCGGCGGTGGTGCTGGGGAGGGAGGAGGAGCGCGTGGAGGCTATATTCGAGGGAGTGGGTTTGCGGTTTATTTTCAGCTTGGAGATTGAATTTGCGTCTGTGGTGTGAGATGGCATCGGTCGCTTCCGCATGGCCATGGCGTTGGGCATATAAGGTATTGGCGGTACCGGAGGTGTGTCTATGTCCCTCTGGGCCATGGTACGCGGGCTCTCCTGGTCTGATGTGGCATATGTTGTCCAGCTAAAGCGGCTAAGAGGATCAATTTCTGGTGTCTTTGGAGGAAATGTGGTGGCGGAGGTGGTCCAGCTAAAGCGACTGGTAGGGTCGTCATCCGCCGTTTGAGGTCGAGGGTGGCTAGTGGTGTCAGGTAAGGGTCCAGTGGGCCGTTGTTGCTGTGAGGTTGGAGGAATGACTTTTGATTCATCGCGGCTTCCATCTCCAATGTCACTCGGGGTTGGTTCAAAAGATGAAACCGTTGCGTCTGAATAGCGTGGATTGAACGGACCAGATAGTTTTTCAGTAGTCACTGGGGAGCGAATCCGAGATTTATTGTTTCCGACTTTAAGTGGAGCAGTCGGCTTGATTGGCTCATCAGGGAAATCAGTAGGCTCCGGAGGTTGGATTGAGGTAATAGGTGAGGTTGGCTCCGCAGAAGTACTTCGAGAGGCTGGCACCGTGACGACAGTGTGTGCGCTGGGGTCTTTGATGACGCTTCTCCGCTTCGCTACTGGTCCGGTGTCATGTTTTGGCCGAGGAACAGTACGCACGGGCTCAACCAAAGCTGTTCTACCACTTGCACCTTTCCAAGGTTCCCGATAGACTGGATGATCTAGAGAGTCCTCACGCCTTGGTCTAACCGCATCTTTGCTGTTCACTGAAGGCCGTTCTTGAAAGCCACTCAAGAGCTTTCTGTCCTTTTCCCTCAACATTGTTAATCGTTCCTCTTCGGACAATTCAGGACCTCCAACGCTCTCTTTAGGTTCTCGTCTTACACTAGGTGACGCTCCGGAATCTGTACTGGCAGAGTCTGAGGCAGGAGGAAGTTTTCGAGGTATGGGTAGGTGAGTTCGCAATTTCGGATCGAGCTTGGGAACGTCTTGCGACGCTGGAGGTGGTTCAATTGGCGAAACGTCGGGGCTTTCTGCTGCATCGAGATCTGCAGACCCCCTCGGGGATGTTAATGGCGATACTTCAGAGTAAACCGACAGCAAGCGATCTGAGCCTTGGGGCACGGTGCGGAGCGTCTCCTGACCAGGTTGCGAATAGAGAGAGGATGCTCTATGGTCGGCTGAAGCGCGATCTGGGCGTGCAAGCGGTTCAACAACTTTACTACGTAAGGTCAGCGCCGTCTTTCACAATCTGATTGCCAGGCTACTGACAAAGGCAACTCTGGGAGACCGAGCGAAGTACGTCTACTGGGACCGCCGCTGCGTAACGAGTCCACTTCAGGAATGGTGTCTAGATACTGTTGATCAAAAGTTGTCTCAATCAAGGTTGGACTTCCTATCGCCGGATCTTTCGACCTGTTGAACTTCCGCCACATTCTGTCCTCCCCTTGAGACTAAGTGTAATTGCCAGGAGCGCTGATCTTTCGGGGTGTGGCGCCGTGCGGGTGCCGAACGGGGCCAACTCTTCAGAGTGTTCTGGTATGCTTGTGGTGATCAATTGCTCATTCAGATTTTTTGCTTGGAGTCGCAATCAAAAACAGAAAACCAATGGTACATTGATCCAACAGAAATTCCTCGATACAGCCTCCTATCAGCTTGGGCGTTGTTGACCCCAAGGTAGATGATCAACAATGCAGAGGACGCGCAGAGACCAGAGGAATCACGGCAACGTCAAAGTTCTGTGTCTAATGCAAACAAGGCAGGCAATGCAGTAGACAGAAAAGGTAAGAGCAGGCCAATCGGGCAACTGGGTGAAGAGCAGCTCCGCCGTCCCTGCGACAGTCTGACAGGTGAGAAACAAAATGAGGAGTAGGGTCGCGTTTCATCTGGAGGAATAGTGCTGTTTCACCTGAGACCAGCCGGGGAAGGCAAGAATGGAACAGATTGGGGCATGAGAGCATGGACAGACAAAGGAAATCCGTGTGCGAAACAGTGACAATAAATTAAATAATAATGCCATTTTCCATGCATACTGCAACATCATAGCCCCCAATCCGCACCTCAGACAATGGATGAGTCCGGAAGGATTGTGGAAATTATGTACTAGCCGGCCGAAGCCGAAAGACTCATCCCGGGCTATCCTCAGAAGATACCCCACTTGACTGCGTGGACGGTTTAAAGTTATTGCTTAATGATTACGATCTCCAAGTCAGCTACGCTATTCTTTAGAGCAACGTCGTTACGATCAAGTGGTGTCTAAGATGGCTGAAGATGCACTTCCTGCAACGAACAGCAGCCCCGAATGTGAGCTGACTCGGCTGAAATGCTGCCATGCTGCCATGCTGCCGTCTTCCTGACATTTTCTTACAGGGCTGGGCGAGATTAAAAAGTGGAATGAACAGTGCATTCATCTATCCGAGTCAAGTCCACATGGGCTAATGCTGGAGCCAGAGCAACAGTCGTAACGCCTATCAATATTATCCTCTTGTCTTTGTTCGTCTTCCTGGTTTACTACCGACTGCGCCCCTCCCCTCCGGCTACTCTACCTAAAGGACCGGCACCTGTCGTGTTCCAGAACTTCACTCCGCGAACATTGCTGAAATATAACGGCGAGAATGGACAGCCTGTATACCTAGCTGTCAAAACGAAAGTCTACGACGTCACACCAGGCAGAAATTTCTATGGACCGGGTGGACCGTATGAGAACTTTGCAGGCAGAGATGCGACCAGAGGACTGGCTTGTCAATCATTCGACGAAGACATGTTGACTAAGGATCTCGATGGTCCGTTGGATGACTGCAATGATCTGGATTCAGAACAGAGAGAGAACCTGAACGGGTGGGTAGAACGTTTCGACGATAAGGTAGGAATGCATCATGATAAGCAAGACATCCATTCAGTCCTAATCATGCACCCTAGTATCTCGTGGTGGGAAAGTTGATGGCATACGATGCCAAAAGTCTCTGACAGTGGATCTGTCCGCCACTGACTGTCAAGTGCGATACGCTCAAGCTCCTGCGTTGTGCAACAAATTTTCGCTGCTTTATGCTATATCTTGGGGAACGAACGTCATTTCATTTCATAGGAATCCGCAAAAAAGCCTCAAGAGACAAATCTTGGGCTCTACTGGTACTCGTGAGAAGAGATAACCGTCATAGAAGAGTTTTGATCATTCATCTTCCCTTTGGCAGGCCCCAAGAACCACCTTTGCCAAGCCGTTGAGAAGTACTCCGTATATCGTCCCTAATCTACGGAGTACATCGTGCGACTTCAAATTAAGTTTCCTTTCTCGGCGCATCTTCGTTACACTACTGCGAGTACCCTTTCAAGGAATGCATTATCGCCATGATGCTTCAAACATGTGTTCGGCCCTTTTGTAACGTGATGCCTGAGGGCGATGAAGTTTATTTGGATCAACATCAAGGATAGTGCAGGCGCAAGGATGCGACATGCTCAAGGTTTCAGCAAACACTGTTTCTGGAAAAGGAAGAGCACCCCTCTCGCATTTTAATTGAACGTATCTGATGTCTTCTGGAGAACTCCTGTTTGCAGTGACCGATACTCGTGGTGTTTTCTCGTTCTGTGATTGTGAATGAAAACCGAATTGCCAAAATGTCACACCCTTCATCCAAATCGGGGCACAGTTCTTCTACTTTTCACTCATCTCATTTGCGAATTCCTTCCTTGCCAGGAAAGCAACTGTTCGTGAAAATGCATAGCTCTAGCGACTGTCCTTCATGTTTTAGCAGCACGATACAAGAGTGCGCCTTCGTCCTGACAGCCTCCCTGGCCACAGCACAGACGTCGCTTTTTGCTGGCCTTATTGTCTGTATCACTTCTCGTGTTGCCGGTGACCTCCATATGAGCATCGTCGAGGTCACTTGGTTATCTGCAGCTCAAGCGTCAGTCACCTCTCCCAGAACAGCTTGTCTAGACAACCAATATCACTACAGTTGGAGATCTCTATTCCACTCCCTTTCATCTCGGCAGAAGCGCCTCGTGTAATTCAGATGCTGACTTTAGACATTAGACTGGCTGCTGGCTCCTTCTTACTGTTCTTCGGCAGAGTGGCTGATTTATTTGGGCGGCGCTTGGTTTTCCTTTCCGGAATGACTTGCTATTCTGCATGTCTACTTATAGCCGGCTTTGCCACCAATCCAGTCTTCCTTGACGTCTTTTGCGGTCTTGTTGGTTTGTGCTCAGCAGCATCCGTGCCAGCCGCCATTGGCACTCTTGGTGCTGCTTATCCACGACCATCCAGGAGGAAGAACATAGCGTTCGCTTGTTTCAGCTCCGGAAATCCGCTCGGTTTTGGAGCTGGTGCTTTGCTTTCTGGTTTTCTGAACAGGTCCATGCCATGGCGAGCTTCTTTCTGGACACTTGCTGTCATATATGGTCTGGTTGCTGCGCTTTCATGGTGGACAGTTCCACCGGAAAATGATTGTTCTCGGTGTTCTCTCGATTTTATGACGCTTACTCAGCTCGACTGGCTGGGCGCAATTGCTATCATTGCTGGCCTTGCACTTTTGCTAAGTGGAATTACGTATGGTCTATTTCGGACAAGTGATCCACATTGCTAATGGGTGCGATAGATTAGCCGCCGCTGCACCGTATGGATGGTCAACCAACTATATCGTGGCCTTCATCTCCTTCGGCATCATTTTGATAATCGCCTTTGTGGTCTGGCAAGGTCTGTCTCCGAACCCCCTCATGCCGTTGCATGTATGGCAAGACAGGAATTTCTCGCTTGTGGGTTTCCAATCGCAGTCTCGCTGAGAATCCCGCTGACACAATTATTTCAGCTGACAGCCATCATATCCTTTGGCTACGCAGCTTTCAGCAGTAACATGTTCTTCCTAGCCCTTTTCCTACAGAAGATCCGCAGCATGTCTCCCCTCCTGGTCGCGGTACATCTCCTTCCTCAAGTCATTGGCGGTATCCTTGTTAATATCATTGCCGGTCTTCTAATGCACTACATCAGCAATAAAATATTGATCTCCGTTGGCGCCGTGTGCTACGTCTTGGCCTTTACTTTACTCAGCGTAATGCAAGAAGATAGCTCCTACTGGGCTTTCATCTTCCCAGCATTGTGTCTTAGCGTTGTGGGAGCAGACTTCGAATTTACGGTCACCAACATGTACGTTATGTCATCACTACCTTTGGCGCAGCAATCTGTTGCTGGTGGCCTCTTCAACACCGTCATGAGACTGAGCAGTAGTGTGGGCTTTGCCGTGTCCACGGCGGTCTTCAATGGCCTGGACGCTTTAGGAGTAGATGAAAGCAATCTCTCTTCTGCGTATGGCAAGTATAGGGCGACTTTCTTTGTCTCGCTAGCAAGTTCTGGACTCAGTCTTTTCCTCCTGCCGTTCTTGACTCTTAAGAGCCAGGGTGGGCGGAGTCAGAGAGGATAACATTGACACTTGGGGACTGTGGACCATCTATTTTCCAAGGTATAGGACAACAAATCGTTGTGGTCTATATTTTTTCGATATGTATCTGGCTGTTTGAGACGGGGACATTGAATGGCTTGCACTCGGAGAAATTTTGGATGTATACGAGCTGATCAAATGAGATGTATTTCACATAAGCTATTCAAGCGAGAGTGTTTCATGTAGAATCCGCTGCGTATTTGAAATTCTCGTGCCCTTGATGTCGCTTGCATTGCCAGAATATGAGGATCAGTCATGATCCAGTTGAAACCCCAACTGAGACGATATTCAGATCATTCCTGTACAATGCAAAATTCATTTTTTATTTTTTCCCGAGCCGCTGATGCCATGCGACGCAGTCTTCAGAGGGCCTTTCGATTTGGACACTTGACCAGCCATCTTCTTCTGCTCGGCCGCATCTGCCCAGGTATTAGTTCAGTTGTAGTTTTAATTGCACAAATATGTCGCTAAGGCCGAAGCACTCACCCTTCCTCTTTTTTTCTTGAAATGCAATCTCTTCTGGGGTATATTCCTTCGGCGGCGCCTTCGTCCGTTTTGGGTTGTCAAGTTCAGTGCCTGGCGACGAGTATGTAAGAACTAGCAAGGGTAAACAAACAACCTGGGGTACGGATACCCACCTGTCTTTCCTTTGCCCATGATGAAGAATGAGGTTTTGTGAGACGAAGAGCAAGAAGCGATTTCTTTGTAGATGTCTAGATTGTACGGAGTGGTGCATCAAAAGTCGCCAATATACGCTAAATTATAGTTCCACTAGCACACTTTAGCTGAGCGTTAGCACTGTGTAAGTAATGTACCATAGAGATGTAGCCCTAGAAGTGCTGCTAGATACCCCTTATTCTAGAGACCTTTTGACACCTTCTTTTCGGCTACGCCCTCTGACCACCCCTACGTCCTCACCACCTGCTGACACCATGCTAGTACATGAAAAGCTAGACTGTCCTCGTCCAAGTTAGCGGATATTGACGACTTTTGATGCATGACTCCGTCCATGATTTGGCGCTAGCTATGTACTAGAATCTAAGTCTTCTCGATGGTCGTCTTCAGATCCCATCTCGTACTCGTGGAACAGCATAGTCAATAATTAGGAACTTGTGCTCGCCTTTCTGAAGACCTTCATGCACAATCCAAAAACTCTTGAACGGGTAAAATATCACTGGTCGGCCTTCTCAATCTCCAGTATTCGTCTGTCGAACCTGGGCTAACAAATCCTTCACCTGAAGGCTAGGATTCGTTCCAAGCCGGTGAAATTACCTCCACAACTTCAAAAATGACCTCGTCTCCCTCAAGTCACTCGGAAGGCGAAATCTTTACATCAGACTCAGAGAAGGCATCTCAAACTTTGCCTTCCCAAAATGGCACCAGCGTTGACCGTCGTACCAGAACAAATGTTGCTCCTGTGAGGAATCCGCGATCTCGATCCCGCTCCCCCTATCGCGCGTTGAGAGGTGAAAAGCGTCGTCGAAATGATGGTTATACAAATACTTCTGAGGTGTCACATTCGCGACCACACAAAGTGAGGCGTGAAAATGACAGATACCTCTCCGACCGAAGTCATGGACGGCGGCCATATATCGAATCTAATTCGGCTTCCAATTCCCGTCATCATCGTGCTTTCGACTACAAAGCTGACGATGGTCGCTCCTACCAACGTCCAAGAACAAGCTCGCGCAGTCGCAGTCGTTCTCCGTTCCGACATTCGCAGCTAGACGAAAAACCTATTCGTGCCGCAACTTTTAACCGCAGCAAGGTTGGCGAATCTGACGGGGAAGTTCAAGCAAGCAGAAATGAGAGTAGATCTAGAGATGAACAGTCAGTGAGCGGACGGAGCAAGCCCTCTGGCGTGGTTCCTGCGTCAAAGTCAAATGCTAAAATATCCGAGAATCAGTCTTCACAGGTTGAGTCGAAAGATCCTATCCATGTATCTGCAGATAAGTACGTCTTAACACATCATGATTATCATGATACTGAGCCATGCAACAGTGCCAAAGCTCTTGCCTTAACAGAGCCCGAATCCGAATCTGTCGGAGCACACGGTGTGGTCGATGAGACAGCGCTGATTGAGGAACGACGCAAACGTCGAGAAGCGCTAAAGGCGAAATATCGTAATCAAGAAACACCTTTACTAGTTCAGGCACTTCATCTTGGAACAGATGCCATATCATCCGGTTCTAGCTCGGTGCGAACATTACAGGCTGCAGAACAGTCAAGCCAGCCTGAGACTCTTGACCAGAATGAACATTCATCTCATCTAAAATGTGGTGATTCAACTTCTCCTCAGACACCAAAAGAGTCTTTGGTTTCACCAGAGGAGATAGATTTTGAGCACGGTGAAGGTCTAGCTAACTCATATTCTTGTTCGGTAGCTGGCGACGAAGAGGAACCATCTGCGGCGGATTATGATCCTACTGTGGACATGCAAGAAGAGCGAGCTCGGCACGACAAGCGTCTATTCAATGAGAACATCACCATCCCTGATAATACAGAGAGAAGAATTCTGGAGCAGCACGAATCTGGACCAGAGCACTCTCACCCCACAGCTTCCCAAGGCCAAGCTGATGAACCAGAAAAACGGAAAGACCCTTTTGACATGTTTGCGGATGATGATGACGAGGATGACATGTTTGGCGAGGCATCATTAAAGCCAGAAAAGCCAGTTGGTGCTACGGACGCTAAGACTGGTCAAGCTCTTGATGTCAGAATGATGGACAACTGGGACGACGCCGAGGGTTACTACATGACTATACCCGGGGAATTATTCGAATCAAGGTATCATGTCCTACAGAATCTCGGCCGCGGCATGTTCTCTTCTGTGGTTCGAGCTACTGACACCAAGACCAACAAACTTGTGGCCATCAAGATTGTGCGCAACAATGATACAATGCGGAAGGCTGGTATCAAAGAGATTGAGATCCTGAAGGATCTTGCAGCAAGCGATCCTGAGGATAGAAAGCACATCATTAGGCTCGAGAGAAGTTTTGAGCACAAAGGTCATCTTTGCATGGTTTTCGAGAACCTGTCGCTCAATTTGCGGGAGGTACTGAAGAAATTCGGCCGAGACGTGGGTATCAACCTCAAGGCGATCAGGGCGTACGCTCAACAGCTCTTCCTTGGGCTCTCCCTTCTCCGAAAGTGTCAATATCTTCATGCTGACCTCAAGCCGGACAATATTCTTGTCAATGACGCTCGCAACATTCTCAAGATCTGTGATTTGGGCTCCGCCAGCTCAATCGAAGAGAATATAACAGCGCCATATTTGGTGTCGCGTTTCTATCGAGCCCCAGAGATCATTCTAGGAATTCCTTACGACTATGGCATCGATGTGTGGTCTGTGGGTTGCACTTTATTCGAGCTTTTTACTGGCAAAATTCTGTTCACTGGTCGCAACAACAATGCTATGCTCCGTTCCATTATGGAGTGTCGTGGCAAGTTTCCGAACAAAGTCCTCCGGAAGGGCAATCTTACGTATCAATATTTTGATGATTTGCTAAACTTTCAGTCCATCGAGGAGGACAAATTGACTGGAAGAATAGTGACGAAAATTATTGACGTCAAAGCCAAGCCCGTCAGAGGTTTGAAAGAGAGGTTGACACCAAAGGGGAAACGGATTGACGAGCATGAAAGGAAGGAGGTCGAGCTCTTCGCTGATCTGCTTGAGAAGTGCCTGGACCTGAGGGGTGACAAGAGGATTACAGCACTCGAAGCATTGCGACATCCATTCGTAACACGGGCGAAGGTTTGAGCAGAATCAAGAGCGAGCATTCATTGCATTGTACAGGAAATGGTCCCGGACCTGTTCATGGTGGACCGAGGACGCAGTATGGTCACACATCAGTGTTTCCTTCAACCCATCAGCGCTTACTGCACATTTTGACAAACATAGTCATACTCTGTAGCCAGTCTAGAGACACGACATGCTGAGCTCTGATCTCTGCCTAAGGTCGTTGAAGACCATCGATCCTCTCCTGATGTCAGGTACTCAAAACTTCATTCAAACCTCCTTTGAGATGTAGTTTCAATGACAAATTTTCGCGACACCGGAGAATGTCCACTCTGATCGAACGTTAGTCTTGGGAAGTTTCACATTACTGATCATACCTGACATTCAGGTCTTGAGCGCCCAACATCGTAGGGACGTCCTGGTGCCGGCTCATATGAGAAATGCTTAATTTGCTGCAGACAAGGTCGTGATTGCGTCTGGGTGTTTCGAAAACAGATGGTCCGTCAAATCTGACAAATTTTCATTGGTTGATAGAGCCGCTAGCGTTTACTCGAACAGCCGCCATCAAATGAGAGGTATCCATCGGTACTTATGTCACTTTGAGTAACCACCAGCAGCGTTATCAACCAATGAATACAATGTCGAATTCTACGACAGAAAGGTGGATGCCTAGTCAGATGTTTACATTAGCCGCTGGGCATGAATCGACAGCTTATCGTCAGAGGGGGTGCCAGGGATGAAATGCCATCGCTAATATATGCACTACCCTAATTGTGCTGGCATTGGATGAATACTAAAAACACTGTGTGATGGAACATTTGCTCTTCACCGGTGCTACAGCCCCAATCGTCATTCCCTATTTTTGCACTGAGGATTGGGACAGTAGCGACTTTCTCACGTACCCCAAGCGTAAGGGATGGGATCTTACAGCCTGGGAGCCTTCGGACGGTGAATTTAAATTGGATACCGGCGGCCGTTCCTTCGAGGAAATATCCGCTTTCTTACAAACATGGCTTTTCTTCGGCCTCCTGGAGTCCGTGCTGGGGATCAGGATTCCAAGAGAGGACTTCATACGTCAGAAGAAAGCCGGGAAGGATGAGAAGCAGGTAGTTATCACCACTAGGAAACTTAAGCACTATCTTGAAGACTGGAGGCGGCGCATGGCTGAGTTGACGAAGGAGGAGCAGGATTGTGCGGCTACTGTCATCTGGGAATATCTGTCTCGGGCAATGGTAGTCAATGGAATCCTCAATTTTCAGTTGTTCTATGGCGAGGATATACCCGAATCCAAACCATTGCTGGAGTCCTTGTTTTGTCAAACCCTCCTCAATAATGCACTCCGGCGGGCTCTTCTTGACATAATACCAGAGACAAATTGGTCAGCACTGGAAGCTCCAAATCACATGAAGCTACTTTCTGACCGAATGGTCGATGCGGGCTGGTGTCCTTACACAGTGGGTTTCCTTGAGGATCAGTGTCAACCCGACGTCCAGGCGTTCGTGTATTCTCTAGGTACTGTACGAGCGCAGCAAGACCACACTGCTTGCAAGGCTGCTGACTTCAATGAGATTGGCCGTCACTGTGTGGCTGGCCGGGTCGAAGGGAAGGCAGCGCTCGAAGCTAAGCACGTCAGTGCAGATTGCAAGTGCGAATCTCTCGGACCACCAGCGGAAAGAGTCATTGAGTTAATAGAAGAAGGGCTGACTCCGTGTGTCGCCATCTCCACCTCGGATGATAACGACGACATCGAGATCCTCGTGGGTGGTACGAAACTCGAACCCGAGTCCGAGGTTAGCGCGTATTTCGCACTCAGCCACGTGTGGACGGACGGATTGGGCAATCATGAGCACAACTCTCTCCCCGCCTGCCAGGTTAGAAGGCTCGCAGGCATTCTCCATGCTCTCGACGACACTAAGCTCTGTCCAGCGGCAACAAGCAAAATGGAGTCAAACCTAGTGAAAGGCCGTGCCACGGCCAATTTCTGGTTGGACACGTTGTGCATCCCTGTTCAATCGCAATTTCATGAGTATCGTGATCGTTGCATTCATGACATGCACCAAATCTACCGTGAAGCGGTAGCAGTCGTCGTTCTCGACCCTGACCTACAGCAGGCTACTAGTGTGTCGAAACCAGTAGAGATCGTGGCTCGCTTATTGTGCTCAGTATGGAAGACGAGGCTGTGGACATATCAAGAGGGCAGCCTTGCTCTCGATCTGTACTTAGCTGGCAAAGATTGCCTCCTTGAACTTTCTGACCTCACAAGCGCAATCAGTGAGTTTTCAGACTCCGAAGATGAAGATGTCCACAAGCACATGAATCGAGACATCGTTGAGTTCCAGATCACGAGGTCAATCATGATTGTTTGCCGCAAATTCATCATGTCTTTTGCTCGATGGGACCACGAAAAGAATCCGGAAAGTACTCTTGATGATATGCTTCGAGCACTCTCTCATCGGGGCACAAGCCGTCCAGACGATGAAGCCATTTGCATTGCGACCTTTATGCACCTCGACCCGGCTCCATTGCTCGATGCCTTACCTCGGCACAGGATGACAATGCTCCTACAAATGCTGCCTTGGATACCTAAATCGGCACTCTTTGCCTATGGACCGAGGCAGCAGACACCAGGATTTCGGTGGGCCCCTTTGACATTTATGACCCCGTACGGGATCAAGAATCGGGTGGTATGCTCGATCACGTATGCGCCCGATCTGGCCGATCCCAAGGCTTCAGTACCCATTCCCAGCTCGTTTCTCCATCCGAAGGGTGTCGGCCTAGCTGTGTTTTTGCCTGGCATGACATTCGCCCCTAATCGTGAGAATTCGATTCCAGAAAACTTCGCTGTGGTAACACCCGATGGCACGGGGTATGTGATATCTTTCCACGATACGGGCTCGGATAAAATCTGGGTGGAGACTTCTCCCAACAACTTTACAGGGTCGGGCGCTATCATTCTTTCTCACCACAAATCCAAGAAGTCCAAATATGCTCTGCTCGTGGAGATGCTTGACCAAAAAAGCGAAGAAGGCTATCCACTATGCAGGTGGAGATGTCAATTGACGGCAGAAAGTTTGGACGATGTTGTGCTTGAGGGAAAAATAGCAAAAGCGGCTGAGGAGTACCGATTCACCGGAGAATTTGTTCGTTTTCAGTGGTGGGTTATTGATTGAATTTTTACAGTCTATGCGAGGGATGAAAACCAGCCCTCCACGCATACATGATGACTGAATGCATGACGAGGAATAGGATCTCTTGTCAGGGGCTGAGACTGACCCCGAGTTTTGTTCTAACATGCCTCTTAGAAGTGGCGGAACAGTGATGATTGCTCAATTCTCTATAAACATCTCTGCACTTCAAGCTTGGAAAGATGGACATGGAAAGGCGATGTATGGCGCATCTGTACTGTGTTTTGCCTCTTACCCCAGATTTCTCCTTGGTTCATCATCTTTCGTTTCTTTTATCCATGCACAATCGTCTGGAGGCACTTACATGATTAAAAGCCTAGTTCAATAGAGTATTATGGGCTCCAAGTTCTGCAATTGCATGTCAAGCTTGATGTCAGTTTGGCAGCCACATCTTCCGAGAACGCCTGAAAGAGAGTCAATGTGTCAGTTGCGGATGTTTTGAGATTGGCGCATACGAGTGCCTGCCTCGAGTGGTGGTCAATGCTGGTCATGTGAGATCCCACGCGTACAAAGAGTCGAAACAATAGAGTATCATCTATACAATCAAGTGGAAGTTTGTTGGTCATCGATCGTAGGACAACTTAGGTTTGGAAACCCTAGGCTCTAAGCTGAGGGCGGAGTGATGGAGGACCCTTCGGACCAGCTACAGTGACATATACATATTTGTGTTTGTATGCCTGTTCAAGATTTGAATCTGGGCAGTTTGGACTCTGGCATTACTGTAGCCTTAAATAGTCCATGCTCAGCGTAGTCTGACAAACCTCTTGTCCGTATTGGTTGTTACTGTAACTGTATGATTACAGATGACTTCTTGGCTGAATCTGAAATCGTGTCGTACACAATGCAAGGCTGAACGAATGACAGCCTTGCCAACCTTCTCCGAACTCAAGGAGCTATGTCCTTGTTTTACATGCTGATAGAAAACTCATGACAGGTTGATTGATTCACGTTCTTCATGAGCACCAACCAGCCTTGCCCATGCCATTGAGCTCCCAGCCCCACTAGAACCACGATCAAACGCGGCCGAGTAAGGATTTCCGTATTTGACGGCACTCAATCTCGAACAGATATTGAGCCCTCGGCTAGAAGTGGGATAGACCAAACCACGAGGTTCTCTTGAAAGAGACAAACATCTACGATCTTTCAATCCGAGCAGGAAAAAAAAAGAAGAAAGAAGGCGTACAGTCGTGTGGATCTGCACTCTCTGCCTTAGCTTCACCACAAGCCTTGCTTTACCATTTACTCTTTCAGGCAAACTCCAGGAAACCAAATACGATGTCGCTCAATTTCCTGGTCATAGGCGCCGGATCCCGTGGTACAGCCTACTCTCGAGCTGTCGCCGTCACCAGCAACAGCTCCACTAACAGTGAATCTTGCACATCTGTGCTACCAGCGAGGATCGCTGCCGTTGCAGAACCGGATCCCTTCAAGCGGGCCGATTTCGGTAGGAAATTCATCTGGGGAAAGGACTCTTCAGCGAGTGATGGTGAGGATGAAGGCAAGGGAAAGAGTAGGCGTGGTCAGGAGTTTGTGGATTGGAAGGAGTGGATTGCGTGGGAGGATGCAAGACGGCTTCAGGTTGCGGAGAAAGAGAAGCAGGGTGGAATTGCTGGCACTGGCGACAACGACGAATCAGACCCAAAAGTAGTGATCACAGGCGTCTTCGTCTGCACAATGGACGAGTCCCATGCAGAGATCCTACACGCCCTTGAGCATCTAAACTTACACATTCTATGCGAGAAACCGCTTGCGCTAAGCTTGGCGGACTGTCTGAGTATAGGGGCTGCATATTCCTCCATCGACACCTCCCCGGACCTCTTCCCCCAGCGCCATGACACCCACCCCATTTCCCAACCAAAATCTTCAAATCAACGCAAAATCTTCTCCATCGGCCACGTCCTCCGCTACAGCCCGCACAACACCCTCCTTCGCAGTCTACTCCTCCAAGACAGAGCGATCGGCGATGTGATCTCGCTCGAACACACCGAGCCAGTCGGCTGGTGGCACTTCGCCCACTCCTACGTGCGCGGGAACTGGCGGCACACCACGCCCGGAGGTGTAGGGACTTTACTCACCAAATCTTGCCATGACATCGACTTCATCCTGTGGCTTCTCTGCTCGCCAGCTGATGTCACAGATGAGCGCGCTACGCCGCATTTGCCGGCTACGGTTAGTAGTTCGGGCGCGTTGTCGTATTTCCGGAGGGCGAGGAAGCCGATTACTGCTGGAAAGGCGACGAACTGTTTGACTTGTCCGCTAGGAGAAGATGGGTGTTCGTTTTCGGCTAAGAAGATCTATCGCGATAAATGGCTGAGAAAGGAGAAGGATGCAGGCTGGCCGCTTAAGATTGTTGTTCCCGAAATCGAGGATCTCGTCTCCTCTGCTTCCTCGACCGAGGAAGGATGGGAAAAAGCGGAAGCTGTGCTGATGCAGAAACTGGGCGAAGACTATGACGCTACCGACCCGACGGGGATGGAAGTCAAGCGCGTGAAGGATAGAAGCTGGTACGGCCGTTGTGTCTATGAAAGCGATAATGATGTTGTCGACGATCAAACTGTCACGATGACGTGGAATGAAGAACCTGATCCCTTAGGCGCTAATCATCCAGATGGACGAGACTATGAGACCCGGGGGCCGAAGACAGCGATCTTCCACCTCACTTACGCAACACAGGCTCAATGCGATCGAAGAGGGAGGATCTATGGTTCGAAGGGCGAAATAGAATATGACTCGAAGAAAATTAGCGTCTACACCTTTGCGGATGAAAAAGTAGTACAACACATTCCTCCCAAACCGAGTTCGATCGAAAGCAAGAGCCATGGTGGTGGAGATGTCGGGTTGGCCAAGAGCTTCGTTGATGCCGTCCGAGCCTGCGAAAGTGGTGACATGACGGCAGACGAGGCGCAAAAGAAATTTGTAGGGGGAGACCTCGAGGAGCTTGTTCGAAGCCACGCCGTTGTTTTTGCCGCCGAGGAGGCGAGGCGGGAGGGGAAGGTGCTGGATTTTCAGAGGTGGTGGCAGGACCAACAGTCTCTCATGGCGTTGGAGAGGCAGTCTCAGAGGTCGATGGCACGTGCGCAGGAGCAGCAGGCGTTGATCAGGTTGCGGGATGAGATGGAGCCTGGGGCGATAGAGAGGAAGAGGAGAAGGGATGAAGAGGGGGATGGAGAGAGGATGGAAGGTCTGGATGCCGAAAGATTTGGAAATATGGAAGTGCACAGTAATGGGGATGTTTCCTTTTCTTGAACGAGAAGAGCGGAGAACTATCACTGAATCAACAGATGCAGTGGACAACGGCGCTAGAATGAATTTGATTGGACATTCCATGCAACAAACAGACCTGAAGTGTGGTGGTGAAGAAGAAAGAGGCAGGAATAAGCGCTGGTGATGGAGACGGCAAGGGACTCGATAGATGCACACGCAGAGGCTGAGTTCATTTCCACGCTCCAAGGAACGAAGACCGCTGGATTCAGACAGATGTAGTGAAGCCTTAGGAACCCAACGGGAGGATCATACATCGCCTTGCGAGCAGTACCAAGGCCACTCTCTCGCCTGAAGTACGGAGTACTATAGTACTACTCACCAATCCCATCCTATCCGACATTACAACGTGTCAGCTTCTAGCAGCCGAGTCAGCCACAGTAAATCAAAGCCTGGAGGGACGCGTGCGCCAAGATGTTTTCTCTAACTGAGGTTGACCATCTTCCTTCGGATCAGAATCAGAATCAGTGGAAGGAACGTCCGTCATCTTCTTACATCACCACCACCACCTCCTCCTCCCTTCACACTCCCACCCCCCAGAGCATTTTCAACCGATTCCCCAGCGCGAATGCAATTAGCAAGCTGCTCGCTCATGCTCGATGACGATGATGATGACAATGAAGAGGCGTGAAAGCGAGTAGGCCGGTTTAATTCTCGGAGGAAGAGAGAAACAAGAGAGCGAGGAGGGGTGATAAGTAGTAGTTAGTTAGTTGGATGGCTTGAAATGAAGTAATCGAACTTTTCCCCAACTCCCTGCTCCAGAAATCCATGAAAGACGGTGGTGATTGAGAGAAAGAAACTGAATGGAATCAGAATCAGAATCAGAATGAATGGGTGCCCCAGCACCTACGACCTATGACCTACGACCTCCGACCTACGACCTACTTCCCATCCATCTATGAACGACGAAGGACATTTTTCTTGCTGGTCCACCTAGCCTAGGCGAGCACAGCACAGCATAGCATGCCTTTCTCGCTCTGGCTTCACCACCAAGAAACAGATTGGATTCTTAGACTCGTATGCGGATGGTCTGATCTACTACTACATCGTCTGATCTTAGGAAAAGAAGTAACATGTTCGAACTTAGGCTCAAAGATTGTTTCAAGAGAATTGAAACATTGCGAGGACCTAATAAATCCACGCTCGATACGCTCGGATTAATTACTGTGTACTGGTAGTATCGAACGCCTTACTTTCCACACCAACAAGAATATCGTAAACTTCGCTCAATCGCTTGCTTTCCCAGAATCCCATGCAAACCCGGCCAAACGCATAGAAGAAACCAACAGCCAACCTATTATCATTGACCCCATCTTTAAAAAAACTCAATAAATCCTATGATTAACATCCTCCTTCCCTCTCGGTGTCGGCTCCGCATGTCTCGTAAAGATCCTGCGACCAAGCCTCGCCAACCTGTCGGCCAACACAGCGGGTCCCTTGGCTAGACTTGCGGGACTCCAATGCTTAACCCTAAACATGTAATATAGCAACACCGTCGCCGCAATGTTGAAGACGACATATGCCCACCCGATGCCGAAATCGCGCCAGCGGGTGTCGTAGCTGATATTGACGGCGGCGAGGTATTGATCCGAGTTGCTGAGAGGGCAGTAGCGACAATCGGAGCTGGCTTCCGGGTTTTGGAGCTGGCCGATTGCGCCGGCAGAGATGTAGTCGGCAAGATATTGGCCGCAGGTCTGGTTAGCTGGGGGGTTGAACTGTGCGAGTTCGTTGTCGGCGCAATCGATTGCTTTTCCTGCTAGGCCTGTGCTGGCCCACCCAGAGATGAGGTATGTTAGGGGTGAGACGCGGTACATGAAGAGCCAGAAGCCGGGGAGGGCATTGGGGTTTTGGATGACGCCATTAAAGGTTAGTGCCATGCTGAAGAGAAGGGTGGCGATATTGCCTGCAGTTTCGGCATCGGGCAAGGCGGCAATGACCATGTGTGCGAAAGTAGAGGCGAAGAGGAAAAACTCAATGCAGAAGAGGAGCATGAGGCCCTTGCGTTCGGCCGATTGGTTGTCTCCGAAAACTGGGAAGTACCAGGCGGCCCAGGCGAGGATGCCAAGGAGGATTTGATAAGGAATCTCGACGGAGATGTTGGCCACGAGGAAGGCGATCCACGAGTATGCTTTGGAAGGGCGTTCACGCACTTCGTAGAGAGAGCGCTGAGTCACAAACCGGGGCATGATCTGTGGTCTGGTATCAGCTTGAATAGCGGCGAACAAACAAACGGAAATGCTTACCTGCTGAACAAGAGTAGAAAAGATGGATGTTAACATGAAAATGGCGAACAGGGTGTTCTGTAGCCCAGCCGAAGAGGTGTTTTGAAGGAAGAAAGAGAAACCAATAAAGAGAGCCGAAGCGAGCCCAAGCGTAAACTTGCCCCAAACATAAGACGGAGTTCGCCAGTATTGCTGGAAAACTCGGAGAGTAACTTCGTAAATCTGCGCAGTCAAAGGCATGGCGAATTCGCCAGTGGATTCACCACGATCTGTGACTGCTTCTCTTTGTTTCTCGGCATGAATACGATCAATCTCGGCTTGCACATCCTTGCTCTCCTGGCTACTCGTCCATACCTCTGGCCATTCAATGTCCAACTTGTTCCGTGAGCCGACTCCGACAATCTCGAGCATATACTCCGCCGGGTTCTCCTCGTCATCACATTTTCGGGCCCCATGATTCTCGAAGTATCCAAGTAGCGATTTCGAATTCTCGCCGATGTCTCCAAAGTAGACGGTCTTGCCTCCTTTAGCGAGAAACAACAATCGGTCAAATTCTTGGAAGAGAATTGCAGATGGTTGATGGATGGTTGACAGTACCGCCTGCCCGCTATCCGCCAGCTTGCGTAGGAAAGCGATGATTGACCAAGAACTTTGCGAATCAAGACCGGACGTGGGCTCGTCAAGGAACAGTAACAAAGCTGGCTTGGCAGCAAGTTCGACACCAATGGTCAATAGTTTTCGCTGTTCCACATTCAGACCTTCGCCAGGATTGCCGACAATCGCCTCACTGAAATCTTCCATGTTAAGCATCTTGATAACCTCTTCGACGAAAGCATATTTCTCAGCCTTGGAGACAGATTCCGGTTGACGAAGTGTGGCGGAGAATCGTAATGCTTCCCGTACTGTGGTGGTCTCTAAATGTAGATCCTGTTGCTGTACATACCCAGTCTTCCGTTGAAAGGATGGGTCAAGAGGTTTGCCATTGACAAACATGTCACCTGTAAGAACTCCAATACTGCTTCTTTGAGCCAGCGTATCAAGCAAAGTTGTCTTCCCCGCTCCCGAAACACCCATCAGAGCAGTAAGCGTACCTGGCTTCACCCAGCCCGAGACATGGTCAAGTAGTCTTCGAGGCTCACCTTTGATGCTGATGTCAAGAGTGACGTCTCTCCAAGTGAATATGTCTTTCTGAACAGGCAACGCGCCGACTTCTCTCGCTTTCGCACCTTGATAAGAATCGTTGGACGACACTGCTGTAGCAGCGGCGGAGTCCGCCTTACCAGCCTCAATGTCCTTGCTTTCACGCTCCATATATTTGGGGATGTGACCTCGGCGAAAGATCAAAAACTCGGCTGTAGAGGTTGACTTGGCGTTGAGTTCGGTTGCCACCAAATATGTGAAGTAGAAAAAGATTTGGAAGGCAAGAAGGATTCCCAGATTGCGCCAGACGTTGGAATAGCTATATCCGTAAGATAACCGCAACCAGTCGTCACCAAGAACGGACGTTCGGCCTGGAACAGCACCAGCCACAGCACACTGGAAGTTGTCGCCGGTGCCGTAAGGAGGGATGAGGCTTGTTGGAGCACATTCATATCGCTGGTTGTGAACTTCGTTGGCCAATATGGCTTCGAAGGCGTATCCAACCGGATTGATGTAGTTGAGCCAGCGGAACCAGGGATGCATGTAGCTGATTTGTACCGTGAAACCGGTATATATCACTATAGCAAGAACCAGTACTCCAGCAATAGCTAATGCCTGGGAGATCGCCTTCGTAGCGGCAGCTATAGTTCGAAAGATGGCAGACATAGTCAACATTGCAACAAAGTTGAAGAGGAAGAACACAAAGAACGGACCAGCCTCATATCGCAGTCCAGACAGGAAGTATAGGATAATGTTGAAGCACGTTGCGATGAGAAATTTGACTGGAATGTCCGAGACTATCCCCGCGAGGGCTTCCGTGAAAGGATGGTAGAAGGCGTAGCTGACGTGCTTTTCAACTATTGGTCTTTGGTCATAAAGTCCGTTGATTTCCGTGATTGCAATAAGCGCATTCAAGAGGACAGCAAAGAAAAGGACGGAGCCTTTGGCGAAGAATGAGCCAGTGCTTTGAGGAGTGCCGTAGAAAATACTACCAATGATGAGAGCCATCACAATCTGGCCAATCACTGTCGTCAATGTCGACGCCTTGTCGTTCCACAGCCGCTGATACGCGCGAATCGTGCAAATCTTGATCTGCATGGGAATGCTGATCGTGTAAGGTGACCTCGGTCGGACGTGCTTTGCTTGAGCTTGATGCTTAGACTCACGGAATGCGTCCAACGCACCGCCTCCGACTGGATTCTCCTCCTCGGCTTCAGCAATGTCCTGTAAACATAACTGGTAGTTCTCTGACTGGAGCCAGTATTTCTCAAATTCATCAGCAGTTCTTGGAACCTTGTTTTCGAACCCATCGCGAGCCTTTCGTTCCTGAGGATTTGTTACGGAAGTGAGGAAGTCGCCAGTTGTCTGCCTGGGTGGACAAACCCAGCCCATGCTCTCAAAATACGCTCTCGCGGCGTCAGCTGGTCCAAAGTAAATCTGGCGGCCTTCGTAAAGGACAATGGCCTTATCGAAAAGGTCGTATATGCTCTGAGAAGCCTGGTAAATCGCGACTGCATTAGTGAAACCTGCAATGTTCGAAGCGACCCTCAAAGATCGAACAAACTCTAAAGCAGTAGCTGCATCTAAACCACGAGTACTGTTGTCCCAGGCTGCCAAAGGGGAACCTGCCAGAGCCATCTCTGCAATACTGACTCGTTTTCTTTCACCACCACTGACACCTCGAACGAAGTCGTTCCCGACTTTGGTATTCCTTGTGTGGCCCAGCCCAAAAATGTTCATCATGATTTTTGCCATGTATTGCGAAAAGTCTTTTCTGGGCACGCCCAGGACTCGTGCTGAAGGAGTACGAGCGGCAGCGGCGAAGTCCAGGGTTTCGCCAACGGTAAGATGAGGAAAATGTTTTTCATTCTCCTGGTTGTAGACGACATCTCCTCTCATCTCTTTGATGAATCGATCTTGTGGGATTCCATTGTAGTGTACCACTGACTTCTTATCCATTTCCAGTCCTGCTAACTCACCACAGATGGATTTTAAAAAGGTCGAGCAACCACTACCTGGCCTCCCCAGCACGATAAGCATCTCTCCACTTCTGACCGACCCGTTGAAGTTTCGCAGGATCTGTTTCTCTGGGGCATCACCGAAGTATTCTCGAAGACGGAAAGGTGCCATCAGCAACGACGCGACATTCTTCTGTAATTGCAAGGCAGCCCCTGAGCCGGAAACGGTAAGGTTCTTGAACGTAAACCCAGCACGCCTTTGCTTGATTCCCTCCTTCTCGATGGTCTGCAGAAACTTTCGTGCCCAAAGATAGAAATCAAATTCGGGAGTTTCTGGGTTGAACTTGGGATCATTGTATTCCATTCCTGCGACAGTGTCCTGCCGCCTAAGCTGGGGTGCTCCATCTTCTGACTTGGATTCAACAGGCCTTGTAGCGAGAGATTCCGCTCTGGAGAGAATGGTGGCAATCTCAGCTAATTCAGGCCCGTCTTCTGTTGGGAACCCATACTCCAACATTGATTCTCGACTGGTGTAGGTTGATCCTCGATTGGTGTAGGTACTTGTGCGGATGGGCTCAAATCGAGGACCGGGGCTTATGGGTCTAGGAATGTCTTCTTCGGAGGTGCCTGAAGAGGAGGTTAAGGAGCCATTGCGAGGGGTGGCTGATTTTGTCGATGCATGGGCAGATGCCATCCTGGGCAAGTTCAGGAGTATAGCAAAGCGTTGGGAATGTTTGTAGAGAGAAAAAATGCGGGCAATTATCAATATAAGAAATGCGACGCTACTTGAATGAAGCACAACAGTGCCGCATCACGAGAAGCAATTGAAGATTAGGAACGACCTCGAGGTAAAGGTGTTATCTACTGCTGCAGAAATTCTAGAGTGGAGCTCCAAATAGATAAGGATCTTGGGGAGAGCTTCAGGTACAGTGACCGTTAACTTCATAATGAGCCCGGATGTCGTCGGATGTCGTCGGATGTCGTCGGAGCTAGTCGGAGCTAGTCGGAGACGGAGATGGGGAAGTTTTATGCAGGTTGATCGAAATAGTCCTCAGCCTTTTATTGGAAGTCTCCAATGGTGATGCAGCTTGGAGTGGGATAGATTTGAAGATGCGGTGCAACCTTCGGCCGAAATTGAGCCAAAATCGGCCAAAATCGATCATAGATGCCAGTAGGTTGGAGACGTACTATATGATACACCGGTCACTACGGTATATTTTACACCGTGCCGATAATTATGCTTGGCAGCGGAAGTCTTGGTATGCCGACCTCCGCTCAACCAACAGCACGGCACGGGCTTAGTTATGACTCCGTATTATCCAGGCTATGTTATATTTAATGTCCCCCAAAATATACCCTTGTCTTTCAGCTGTTGAGCCGCGCGCTATTGAGTGAATCGCATGCAATATCTATGCCCTTGCAAGTCCCTCCAGCACCTCCTGTCCTCTCTGACCATCCTGCCAAGCAGCTCCAGCTCGCTGAGGATGCCTGCTTGGGGTTAGTTATGGGGAAAGGAAGGTCTAGGTTTTCAGCATTGCATTCGATAGGATGCCATTCCAAATCGCGTTGAAAGATTCACATTCGTTGTGAAGCCAGTGTACAGTGTACAGTGTACCGGCACCAAAGCCACGCAGGCCTCCTACATTCGCCTGAATGTCAACCAGGTCGCGCAGTGGGCACGTATCGAAGCTTGAACGAAACACAACGTGAACTCGGCCCAGCCTAGAACCTGAAGAAGTGAGGTGCTTGGTGGAGGTTTGCGGAACTCTATCACGTTTGGGCTCCTCCGTTCCTAGCTTCGAAAGTTCCAACAAAAATTCTGGTCACAGCTATCGTGACACTGCATAGTTGTAGGCAGACCACATCGCCAATATTGGTGCTCTACAAAACTTATGACGTCGCGTCGAGATCTTGCTTGCCGTGCAAGGAACTCGCTATGTAGCCAATTACTCCTAGCATCTGGATGGCCCGCACGGTCTGGCACCAAAGCCTCAATTGCTGTTTCAGATTGGAGGATTGCAAAGGCCAGGCGCTGACCCTCTTTCGCATTGATGTTAGGCGTCCTGAAGACATGAACATGAGTACCATGGTATACCTCTCCCTCAATATGGCAATGATTCGAAAGATATCTCCAAAACTCGTTCTCACTCTGCCGCCACGGTGAACCAGGAAACACATTGAACACAGGGGAGATCAGTTTGTGCTGTTGCAGTGGTCCTTCTACGTGGTTCAAAGTAAGTGATTTACATGGTGACTCTTCAGGTGTGAGATTGGCGCTATTTAATCGATTAGAAGTCTCATCGTCTAGTACTTGAACCAGGCACCATTGTGAAGGTCTGCGTTCTGCATCCGCATCCACGTCTGCAAGTAAATTAGGGTTCATATCAGCACGCGGAGGGGGTAGCCTTTTATTGTACTTCGTGGCGAGGGTGGCGAGGGTCTCTACGAAGTTTTTCAACGTTGCTTTGTGGTGTTGTGTATTCTTTGCAATAAGTAGGCACGCTGTCACGAACCAAATCTTCATTCCTGAAGATGTGCAGAACTCTAGCCCTGCACGTCCTCTTGGTGCAGGAGGTCTCGTTTGTGGCATAGAACTCGGTGCAACATCCGACCCTGTTGCCATGCCTCTCGCATTACCGGGTTGTCTCGCTTCTGGTTGTCTTGGTGGGAACCCTTCACTTGGTGGGTGAGAACGTGAGGTACCTGCGCCGGTCGAGGAACCTGCATGCGGCGGAGGAACTGCGCCTGTCGAAGAGCCGGCGCCTATAGAGAAGCCTGTATTTGATCCTAGCCCATCTGATGGCCGAATTGCCTGTGTGGGAGGGGGAATTAGATTCGTTTCTGTTACTCTACCTCCATCATGACCAGCTAGGCTGATATTTGACAATCCTTCTTGAATGCCTTCAACTGCTGGCTTAGGTCGCGCATCAGGTACAACTGCCGGCTTAGTTGCCGTCTGTCCTCTCAGTGATAGGTTCAATTCACCTCTATCCAGCGCAGCAGTTTTTCTGTGCGCTCTAGCTGGACGGGCTTGGTTCGAAATGCCGCGGGCGACGCAGCTGGAGTAGCTTGCGGGCGAGCTGCTGTACTCAGTATCGACGGAGGAACCTGCACTGGGGTAGGTAGCCTTGCTGAACTATCTAGCTTCTCTGCTAGCAGTATTTTGGATGGGTTTGAGCTGGATGCAGTGGTCTTGTGGGTGTGATATGAGCACCCCGTGGGTTCGCTTCTCCGCGTGCCGTCGTTAGACTGGCAGTATGGGCCCCTGTGGAATCATTACATGTGTTCTGCGAACCTCCCACGCTCGTAGGTTCTCAATGAGTGGTTTGAACAGCAGTAGTGGCATGTTGATGAGTTTGTTCAGTTGATGTGCCGCGCCTTTGGCCACGTCTCCCTTCTGCTGGACGCGCCAAACCACACTCCATGACCTCTGCAACAATCAAGAGGGTAACCGAGAGCAATATCAGTATGCCAGAAAAGAACTCCTCGAACGAGAACCGCTTCTTCTTTGTAGGATGGCGGCCAGCACCACGCAGAAAGAACACTGCCCATCAAGGCAAAGAGAACAAAATTGTGAATGCACCTGTGGATTCAACTCGAAGTACATATCCCATGTTGCCATATATGGGATTCCTGCTGGGGAATGCGACTTATCCAGTGATATTTCCGCAGCAGGGGATGGTCAAACATTGCCTCGTGTTGCAAACACAGGCACATGCTACATACTCCTGGCAGGTATGCTGTTGCTGAGCCTGAGTGCAACTTCAATGATAGATGGTCGGGCCGAAGCTCCGTGCCAAAATTCTATGCAAAAGAATTTTGGCGCCAAGCTTCGGGCCGAGACAGGTTCGGAATAGTGATACAGCATGTCAACCGTGCCTTTGTGGCAAAGCTAAAACATGACCTGCACCATTATGGGGCCAGGACTGGGCGTCCGTTCCGCCCGCGAATGTGTCAAGTTCATCTCCTGCACAGATGTGAAAACGTTATGATACCAACCTCGGAAGATTTGGTGGCCGGTTGAGTCTTGAAGAATATCCCCAAAGGATTAGACCACCGGGTAGGATGGAAACTGCCTCGATGAAAAAGCTGGACTTTCAAGGGTTTGAGGCAATTTCAGCTGAGGCGCTTTAGTTCCCAGCGACACCTCGCAGCTCTCTTACTTCCTTTGTATACAGATGCTGTCATACGGGGGAAAGGTCGCTGCTGGCCTACTACGGCAGCCCAAATCTCATTGAACATGACCAAGATCATGACCATGGCCGTGATCATGACCGTGACCGTGTAACTTGGCAACCAGCCACCTTACTTATTACTATGCCCCCATGCCCCTGACTTGAGGTGGTCGCCAGGTAAGCTTCCCTAGCGCGCCTCCCGCATGGGTAGTAGGCTGGCCCGCGTCCAAGGTCGCTTCGGTTCTCCGGTCTCACAGATCACAACAACCAACCCTCCTCTTCTCCCATGCTCCTCCTCGATCATATCCAAACTTAGCTGTTTTCGAGTCCTTTCGCCTTCCCTACTATCGCGTACCCTTCGCGACCTTAATCGCATCACTTTGACCTCCCCATCACTCTTCTCTCCCTCAATCGCATTGCCATCTTGACGTCATCATGGCCAACGACGAACCCGAGAAAGGCGATAAAGGTAAGCGGCGTCAATCTCAATGCTTCCACACTCAGCGCGCACATCAAGCCACTAACATTCGCGACAGTCTCCTGGAATTGGGGCGGCGGTCAGGCTGGCGGCACAGTCGTGGAGACCAAAGACGAGGGCGAAATCGCCATCAAATCCAAGCGCGGCAACACTAACCCCGCCGTTCATATCGGCCGCTCCGGCAATGATGTTGTAAAACGCGCCAGCGAGCTGATGGTCGATGAGAAGGGCTCGGGCTCGGGTTCGGGCTCTGGCGCGAAGACGAGCAAGAGTCCCGCGCCCAAGGAGAATGGGGATGGGAAGGGAGAGAAGAAACGCGAACTTGAGGAAGATGGCGATGGCGATGGCGCGGACGACGCTGGAGAGGAAAAGGCTGCAGCAGATAAGGAGGAGGAAGCAGAGGAAGAGAAGAAAGAAGAGGTGAAGAAGCCGGCAGCGAAGAAACAGAAGAAGGAACCTGCTGCCAGCAAAAAGAAGAAGGCGGCCTCGGCGGAGGAGAAACCCGCCCCAGCCGAAAAGGAGAAGGTAAAGAAGCAGGCCAATGGTGCTGATGAAGCCAAGAAAGGTCGAGGCCGACCCAAGGGAACTGGCACTGGCACTGGCGCTGGTGGTGCGGCGGGGAAGAAGAAGAAGAATCCCAAGCCCAGGGCTACGGAGGGGATTGGATCGAGGACTAGGAGTCGTGCTTAGACTGGACTTCTCAGCCTGCTGTCGAAACGTGGGCTGAGGATTTTGGGGGGAGGCAAAGCTGGGTTCACGGGCTAGGGATGGAATGGGTCACCCCCGGCTTGGAAGTGGGACAGGATGGGATGGACTTCGAGGGCGGGATATCTGACTGGTACGTGGATCTGGATGAAATGCGCAAGGAACATGTATTGTAGACCGAGTTAGTGCTTTTTCGATTATCTAGGCCTTGTGTATAATATGCTATGCAAAGCTGTGGGTTAAGCTATTAACGTATCTTATCGTCTTTGCCCTGTCTCATGTCATATCGGTGGCATATCACATGGCATTTTGGTACACATGCTGATGTCAAGGTTCTAGAGCTCTCACTAGCAACAAACGCAATGTAATGTACATATATACTGCGCCGGTCTTGTGTCTTCTGTTCTTACTATCTGTCCATCCCCTGTTCTGGTGCAGCGGATGCTTGTCCTTCTTCGCCTTCTTTGCCTTCTTTGCCTTCTTTGCCTTCTTTCCCTTCTTTCAGCAAGCGAGTTTGTGTGTCAATCGCCTTCTGAACCGCCTTCCGCCCTTCGATCCTCTCTACCCAGCGCTTGAAGGCTGGAAAGGCAGCTAAATCAACTGTCCTCAGGGCTGGGTTACACCTCGCCCAGCCATAACTAGCAATATCCGCAAACGTATATCTGTCACCCGACAGCCACTCCACCTGGGATAACCTTGCGTCCAAGTCCTTGATTATACGTTCTGACCTATGGTATGACACGATGATGCCATGAGGCGACTCCTGGGAGACAAACCTCGCCTTAGAGCGGCTGACCTGAGTCAGAAACCAGCTCTGCATGGTGTAATATTCCGGCGTGCCACGTGGGTAGGACAGCGAAGCGGAGGGGTCATAATGGTCGACTAGGTACGCTGTTATCCCGCCGAAGCCGAAGACACCAATGTCTCCATCGCGGAGAGTAGGAGTGCGCGCGCTGGTGTTCTTGTGGAGAAAGCCAGGTATTGTTTCAGGATCGCTACCTCCTTCGAGTTGAACGACTTCGTATCGCAGACCGAGTTCTTCAAGGACGATGATGCATTTGAAAGCATTGGGGTGGCCGCGGAAGTACAGAGTTCGGTCGCTGGGTGGAGATTGCGACAAGAGGGAGAGTGACCGCTTCCAAGAGAAGGGTTTGGTTTCGAACAGGCCCGGTACGTCGACCGAAAGTGCTAGGGTCTGTCTGCGCGCCGAAGGACAGAGAATTGTGGTGTAGTGGACTCTTCTCTCTGAGATAGGCTTTCGCCGTGCTAAGAATTTTGCTGCATTGGGTGGATGTGCAAATGGATGACTTCGAGGTAACATCCCTACGCCTTTACACAGCATGTGGAGGTTGAAACAGAGTGCAAGAGCAATACCACATTTATGATCGACGAATGTGAATGTGAATTATCAAGAAGCCCTTCTGCCCGGTCAAACATCAAACGCGGCTTGGTATGTAGCTTCATGCATACTGTATTTTCTTTGATCGACTCGATGTGGTTACTACGTAAGTACTTGGTACGTAGTTCGTAAGGGCTTGGCAACCCCTGTATTGGTCGGTCTTGGCGCTCTGCAGGCCACGACTTTAGTCCTCACTATTCCAGAGAGATGGTAGACCTTCGGTGCAGCTTCGAGTTGTCCCATGTCAGAGTCAATTGTAGCTGCATACAAAATATGATGCCAGATGGCATATATCACATATCCTTTCACAGCCAGATCCCAGCTCGAGCAGCAGGTGGGAGAATTACGGTCCAAACCTGTGAACTTCTATCTCTTCTGACTATCTCGTGGTGCCGATGACTTCCTTTTGCTTCTTAATGGTTATAGCATCTATTATAGGACTCAGCACGAACAGGCCGCGTCTAGCCCTTTGTTTTCATTCAACATGACGAAGATCCGCTTCGGCTTGATATATTCCACTGGGAGTCACTTCATCCACCTTGGTGTTTAACCATTAACCCAGTCATCATGTACTAATATAGCATGCTGAGCAGTCTCGACGCGTTGGCTCTTGCTGAAAAAGGACAAGGGCAAGATGCCATAATACTCACACCCAAATTCTGACCTCTCCAAAGCCCATTTCCACTTTCAGACCTGAGCACATGTGGCTGCAACCTGAACGATGAATAAGCAGCCCTGAGCTGTGATTGTGTAAGATTGTTCCGAGATCAGCTAGGTAATAAATTTAAGCTTACAGCACTTTTTACTCAATCTTGAGCTTGGCATTGCTTTTACATCAGAGAGATGATAAGAGATTATCCCAATGTGTCTCCAGCTTCCTGGCTACCCCGATCATCTTCTTCCGACAGATACTTCACTGCCCATTTAAACCGATTTCTTCACTAGCGAAATCTGGTCAAGCTTAAACACACTCCCGGGCTCTCTGGTGATAACCTCAAACTTGACCTCAGTCGCGTCCCCTGCATCATCCACAAAATCAAACGAGTTGACGTTCCACACGCCAACCCCCAGATTATCCCTCGCGTCCACGGTCCGCTTCGGCTCCCCATTGATCATCACGCCCCAGAATCCAGCGTCCGGGCCCGCGATATTTGTCGCAAAGGTAAGTGTGTAGGTGGCGCCAGGTTCGAGGTTATAGACGGTCTGTATGAGGCGCGCGGTAGCGTCGGAGATGGATGTGGTTGAGCCGATGGTGAATTGGAAGGCAGTCGCGGAATTGTAGCCTGGGGAGGAGAGGGTGGAGGTGGTTGTGCCGTCGATGGTGTAGGTGGTCCAAGGGGAAAGGCCACATTCGAAGTCGCCGTTGCGGAGAAGGTTGGCCGAGGTGTCGGTGGAGCAGGTAGGGGACGGGGATGGTGGGACGCCGCAGGAGCAGATGGAGGAGTACTTGGAAGGGGAGGAGCCGCAGGCGGAGGTGGCACGGGGGGGGAATTGAGTCAGGGCAGTGTTGGTGTTGACGGTGGTGGTGTAGGTGCGGCAGAAGGCGGTGGCGGATGAGAGTTGAGTGGGAGAGGCGGTGGGGAACATGGCGCGGTAGCAACTGGAGATGGCTTAGTCAGTTGGGTAGATCCGAGGGTTCATGATGGGGGGTTTCGGAGGGCCGAGAAAGCGCAGAGAATGGTTGGAAGAGGAGGGATGAAGATGAAAGAGAGGGTGACGAACTTGTCGCGAAAACACTGTGTTCCAGTTGCATAGCCATAGCTGACCAGACAGGCAGCCAGCAAATACTGCAACATGGTGGAAGAGGACCACATCTTGGAGAGATGGAAGACGGACTCCTTCAAAATAGACGAAATAGAGTAGAGAAAACGAAGCACTTGCAGGAAGGACCTGAACTGGACTTCAAGGCTGAACAAGTGCCAGAGGCAACTTCATATACTCTGCATCTGCCCGCCAAACAGAGTGGTAATCGTGAAGTACATCTTCTTGCCATTGAGGATACGATCGCCAAGGAAGAGAATATGCTATATCGGGACCAAAGCACTGACTAAGATGCTCAATCAGGAAATTATCTTTTGTGGTGTGGAAATAAGCTTCGACCAGATCGTGTATGCAAAGACTGGACCAATAGTCTGCTGACATTCCAGCCACTTCAATATTGCTTTTCGCTTACTACGGGGGGAGGGGCATACTACGTACTAAATATTGTTAGGCTGGGTCTACGTAGTAGTAATGCTAGGTAAGATACAACACCATGTATCTGCGCTTGCCACAGTGAGTATAGAGTGTCTAGGACTCCCTCAATTCAGACTAGCCTGCCTATCTAGTATCGAGTGTCTACGGAATATGTCATTGGCATCTACAACTGTTTAACAACGCGCCGGTGTCTCCTCAAGCAGTCCGTTGAGACAGCCCACAGGTACAGCATTCCAAGAAACTGTAACAGCTTCTCGTAGCTCATAAATAGCTACGGAGACTGTCATCATAACGCGTACGTAGTAGATAGCACTGTGAGGTCATGGCGTTGAATTAGAGTTACGAGAGACTAGTAGGTAACAGGCGCGTTTTGATCCAATATTACTAGGGTTAGCCAACGATATCTAAGGGCCCCCGGGTAGTAGTTTACAATCTTCCCTGCGGAAAGAACCTGCGTTTCTGGCCACGGGATAAGGCATTAGGTTATTCAACTTCAACACCACAGCGGACATCGCTTATGTTGGAGGCCCTGCTGCGGCTGTGAGCAGATGTCTCATATTCCAGTATACGCTTCTTTCTCGGTTAGCACATCTCCACCTCTCCGGGTCAAGGACCATGATCCGCGCCAGCCATCATTCGTTCGTGTTTGCCTAATAAAAGATCATCTTCCCCAATCCAACAGTTGTGGCGTCTCCAATCCAGTCAAATGATGAATACGTACGGAGTACTTAAGATGCCCTGCACACCACCATCTCCGCCTCCACAACTGTTGCCTCTTTGACCGGCCAGGTCGGTCTATCAGGGTCCGCGGTCGATGTGGTTCAATGCAGGAGGACATCCTTCATCCTAAACCACGTGAAAGTATGTGAAGATGTTCAGCTCTTACGGAGTCGTGCCCCCAAAGTAGTTGAAATACGCTGAGGATATATGTGCCAAAAGGTACACTCTTGGCAACTATGTCAAGTGTGACTCCTCCATAAGCTTTGGGTCTGTTTATTACATACGCCCTAAGCAGTGGGGTTTTGTAGTACTTAAGGGACATAGTAGTGACATTTCTTATGACGTTTTAGGCTGGCTATAGGCTTCAACCCCTGGAATGCTTGGAATGACACTACAGGTACTACTAAGTGTCAAGACAAATTTATTTCTTGATCTTGGCAAACTATCTCTCAGCGTGTTTTAACTACTTTTGGGGAACGACTCCCTACAATTAATCGTACCGAAGGAACACAAAGGTGCCAAGCATTCTCTGCGTAGCTGCTGATACTTATACCACTGTCTTTGTTGATAACCACAATATCCTTACCCAACTTCTACCATTAACTTACTCTTACCTTCGCAGACGTAGATTAATCGCTACTACGTCTCCATAGCCATGGGCTTACCGTCTCTCACAGCGGCCAGTCTCATGGATTGGGCTGCCATTGACCTCATCCTCACTTCACTCTTCGCTGCTATCATCACAGTCAATCTCCTCCTTCTCCGCCGTCGCGTGCACCGTCTTGAGCGGCGTAAGATCTTTGATCTGGAAAAGGGCCGCCATGATGTTGAGCTGCTCAACAAATTCCGTGACCTTCAAACTACTGAATCCAAGAATGGACCGCTCGATGAGAAGGCTTTTCAATGTTTCATGGAACTAGCCGGCGGAAAAATTCCGAGCCTCGATTCAAAGTGCGAAGACCAGGAAACGGCTTTCCGCTATGAACAGTTGCTTCAAGCTGCTGTCAAATTTTTCCACCCTGAGCGCTCTGAAGCATCAGTCAATGAAAAGCAAGAACTTGGGGCAGTTGTAGCTACGCCGGAGTTCACTGCCGCTGTTCTGGACGAACCACAGTCCAATAACGCTGGCCACGTTACTGAGTTGGATAACTGGTGCCGCCACTACAATAGTCCATCCGAGCCTCTTTTCACGGTGATGGAACAGGACGGCCAACTGAGCCAAATCAACAGCTGGAGCTTACCCAAGTATTCTGGATGCTCTAAGAAGATGGCTGGAGATAATTTATCTCCCATTGATTTCAGCAAGACCTCGTCCAAGGTCATTATGGACGAACAAGAATTCTCTGGCATACCAAATCTCAACAGAATGACGTCTGAGGAAGACTCGAGCCAACCATCGTCCAAGAAATTGTTTAACGCGCCAGTCGTGCCAGCATGCTGGAGCGAACATCAGCAGTCCCTCTACGATGCCTCCACGATCGACCCGGCGTTAACTAGTGGCGCAGGGTATGAATTGACAGTCAAGGGCCCTAGTACCATCCCCTCTCCACCACTTAGAAGCTCGTCTTTTGCTACCCCTGTCTGGCCTGGCCCCAACGAACCCAGCAACAAATCTCTTCCGTTAAGCTATCTTCCAGACCGCTCTCTACCAGGCTCCGACTCCAACGCGGACAAGTACAACTCAGCCGAAGAGATCTTGGAAGCAGCTCTGCCGGAAGATGGAATCGAAAACCCTCTGCTCCGCCTTCCACCTCAAGATGACGGTTGGACAAGCTTTCCACGTTGACGAGCCGGTATAGAGGGTTCTCGGGCTCCCCAGAGTTTGCTGCAGACCCGTCCAAAAGCCACGAAGCACTACACCCCTCTTGATGCAAAGCTGACGTACGAAGTCTCATCAGCTCCATACCTGTTTTTCAGCCCCAAACGACTTCGCAGCACTACAGAGCACAACAGAGCACAACAGAGCACAACAGAGCAACATCACACTCCCAGCAACACTCTTGAGCCGTACCCTCAGGCAGCAACCAAAAGCACCAACAGCACCACAAAGTATTGCTTTACCTTCATCTTTCCCATCCATATCACCCCCACACCACCACCACCAACAACCGAGCTCTGCCAGACCCACAACACATTGTGCTCGAAGGCCTGGAATCCGCAGACCATGCCGGTCATACGCACGAAACGACACCCTAGGGCTTGGAACCGAGTTGAGGACTAGGCTGAGCTGTTTCCAGGCTGGTCAACGAGCGTTTTTGCTTCTGTACCACCCAGGCCTTAGCTAATTAGGATTAGAAGCTACTGCTTAGCTAGAATCAAGACATTCCCCTTTGCAAAGAAAGGTTCGTGTCCCATGAGGATATCTCTAGCAACTATAGTAGTACTGGCACTACAAGCGGTTTATTGTTACTAACACAGCTCCATCGAAAATCAAGTTTCCCTATGACTTCTAGGCTTTATCCAGCTTCTCATAGCTTTTAAACAACCCCCACCCCTACCAGCTGTCCACCCTCTCGCGATACGATTTCACTTCCTCCCACCCTGCGAAGTATTCGTACTGACCTGACTGACCGGCTCACTCCCACCCTCACCCAGCCCTCTTTCGCCAACCTCAGGATGATACGGCGGTCTCGCCCTCCCGGCCCTCTCGGGATCGAACCTCCACACTCCGGCCGTCTTCTCCGCCTCCACGCCCGCCCAGGCCGTCGCTCCACTGATCATCTTGACCAACTTTGCGAACGTGGCATCGTCGTCCTCACGGAGCGTCTTGAAGAATTTCCTCTCCCAATCCCTACTCTCCTCCTTTTCCTTCTTGCGTAGCTCGCGCTGAGCGTTCTCAATCTTCGATTTGTGGAACGACACCGCGTCCATATCTCCTTTCGTGATTGAGGCGGCGACGTTGCGCCACGCGCGGCGACTTTCGAAGGGATCTTGTTGCTCGATCGGCATGACGGTGAGCGGTGTGGTGGGCGCTGCGCGGTAGGATTCGACCTCTTTGCCCTTCTTGGGTTTGTCGCCTTCGTGCATGCCGAAGGAGAAGTTTTTTTCACTCCATTGGCCCTCGACGCTGTAGAGGGGGTGTTTGTCGTTGCCTTGACCTTCCTTCCACATGCAGGCGGTGAAGGTGTTCTTTTTGCCGGAGAGCCAGCCTCTGCCGGAGTAGTCTATTTTGGAGACGTAGCCGCTGGAGGAGGCGATGTGAGTGTATTTCTCGAGTTCGATGTACGGTGAGCCGGTTATGAGGGATTCGATGTGCAGGGCTGGGAGGGTGATGAGGTAAATTTCGGGTTGGTTTGGCGCGTTGGGTGGAGTGAGGGTGAGAAGAGCATGGCCCACTTGTTTGATGTGGATGGTGCGCGAGAAGGAGGCCTTTTGGGCGTTGTAGCCTTGAAGCTGGAGGTTGACGTGTTAGTTCGTCCAATGCTCTACTTTCTATCGCAGATATGCCTACCTGAATACCATGTTTTGCGTTTGTTATGCAATATGCTGTCACTGGTGGGTGATGGCTGACTTGCTCAGAGATAAGTTGTGTCTCTCCAGCATCGTCCTGCCAGGTGCCGAGAAATAGCTCACCCAAGAATGGATTCAGCGGTTTCTTTTCGCTCCCCAGCTTGTCATTTCGTGACGAATATTGCTGCTTCAGGGTTGAGAGAAACCACTTGAGCACGAGTAAGGACCGTTTGGCGGGATCTGGCTCCTGGGTTGGGGCAACAAAGATAGATGGATGCTCTGCCCAATAGGCGCTGAATTCGGTTAAAGAGGTCGTGCTAAGAATGAAAGCAGGGGCTGTCAAGGAAGAGAGGTCGCCATTGAATGATGCAATGGACTGTACAGTGTCAGCTCTGGGCAGAGGCTCCGAGATGGTCTGACTTGCCTTGAGAAATGAGCCCCAGGAGCCGGAGCCTTTGCCCTGGCCCGAAGCTGGCATAGTATCCATATTGAAGAATCTTTACAGAGCTCCAATATTGGTATGTAGATCTGAAAGCAGGGTTGCCTGGTGGTGTCCTTCTAGTATTGTCTTCTGTCCAAAGTCCCTGTTTAGACTTGTTCTCGCCCTCTCCGCTGCTCCTGGTAACGATGGGTGGCACTCTTCCAACGCCAACAGCGAAAGCTCGATACTGGACACCGATCTTCTCGACTTTATTCGACAGAACATACACAGAGAGAGAAGGTGGGACAGGCAAGGGATACTAGCTGTTCTAAACACGTTTTCTCTCTGGATTGAAGCAGGCAATCTCAATAATTTCTTAGTAGGGAGGCGCAGCAATTGAGGTTGATCAATGCGTCATTGAGGGGAGTGACGAAGGTTGATTGTCCAAAATAAGAACTTAGGCTCAACCCAGGAACAGGAACAAAGAGCCGAAGAAAATTGACAGCTGCAGACCTCCTGTCTGCTGCTAGAGTGAAAGTATGCCTACACACCTCTAGATAGAGGAAATAGATACGGCTGCAACATCCAACTCAATTCTCCCTGACTACAATCGTGACCCATGACGAGTAATTTCTTATCTGCTTCATGAGAACTACGTCGACTGCTGCAAGATTACTGTTTTCGGTGCACCGTTCCTGTCATCTTATTTCACATTTCTCTTGCTATTTCTTATTTGCAGTTGGGGTTGCTCGCCTTATCCTCCTATACTTAGATGAAAGCACTCGAGCTCCGCTGGGAACTGACCGGAAATTCTCAGTCCTGTATCTCCTGCTTCAAGTGATCAAGTCTTCTTTCTACTGTCAAGGATAATCCTCAGACCCCGCAAGACCCGGGACCATGTAGCAGTTCTCTAGAGCATTACCACTTCAATTACACCTCCGTCGTTTCTTTTACGCTGTTTTCCTCCTCCAGGCGGCAAGTCTTGTCGATGTTGGCCCCTTAGTTGCTATGCCTAGATACAGAGAAGATATTTGGCTCAGGGGACGACATCGCATTTCCAATGTGAGTGCTAGCTTTACCGGCTGATGGCCTGGGCTCATGGTCAAGATGCAGGTGACGTTCTTACCTTCGACAAGCTTGCTGAAGGGGGATCAAATTGTGTCCTTCAAAGCGAAGCTGATGGATGGCGCAGAAGGTCATTGCACGACTCCCATATCCATCGATCCTCCTAAACGCCTTGGAATGCTAAGTGAACTGGCTACCTTGGAGTTGCTCAGGATGCACGATATTCCTGTTCTCAAGGTATCTTGCAGAAGAGCTGGGAAACAGTGAAAACTCGAGAAAGGTTGAACATGGTCGAGAAGATAAGGGACCTGGGAGGCTACCTCTTTCACATTTGTTTACCGGCCAGCGAAAGCATCTACCTCAAGAGCAGCCCGCCGGCAGGCATTTGCTCTATTGATATTCGTACTCACTAGCTAATAAGTACCCTAGCAAACTTCTGTGGCAGGCCCTCAGCTCAACATTTTGGCGTCAAGAAGATGGATAGGTAAGAAACTATCGCTACGAGGCAGCGAAGGAGATGGTCACCAATGTAAAGACTCGGAGGATTGCAGATCTGGAGCTGGAAGATAACGAAAGAGATTTGCAAAAGAAATTTCTGCTCCAAAGACATTCTAAGCATCGCTGACGAGCACAACCTGGCAATGGCTATTTGTCCATGTCTGAACTCGAGCTTCATATCCTGCTTAACAACCTCCTCGCTGATTTGTGTTCTAGCGCATTTCGAGTAAAGCCAATTTCAGACCAGTATAGCCATGTGCCCCGGAAAACCCCAGCACCAAGTCTCACCACACGCCTGTATGGGTCTAGGCTTCAGGCACAAGAAAAAGACAATTGGCGGCCGGAGTGACTGTTACCGGTATACCCGGTTCAACGCAGATGGAGTGTCCGACGCGCATTGGTTTTCCATCAATAGTCGGTGATCCTGCGATTTGAAGAGGGATAATGTATGTAACTTTGGTGTCCATGACCACAGTCAGGCCTGCTCCTCTGATCTGACGCATACCCCAACCGATCTTCTCAGCTTCGTCAGTCGTTTTTGTTCTTCAAGTGAGGGGGACATGATAGGCCAAGGGATCTTACCAGCTGACCGCGTGGCAATGCGAATCTTGCAAGGAGTGGGAAGATAGCTGGGCAAAGATCGTCGCTGTTGAAGTCTCCCAGTATCGGCCAATTTGGATCTGGGTGACATTCAACGTTGGCAAGATGGGGCACGAATGTCGTGATCAATGCTCGGATGTCGTCTCCTAAGTCTTGCTGCTCTAGGTGCTTGTTTGATACCCGAACATGGAGAGGAGGTATGGTTGACATGATGCCGACTGAGTCTGGTGAATGTTTCTTCTCCAAGACCCGGATGCTGAATTTGTGAAGGTGCTAGGGAGAGATGAGCTGGAAAGATGGTCATGGCCCTAATAAATATCTTGACCACAGCAATCTCCCCTACATTCACTGAAATGAAGCATTCAGTCATAGCGACCATGTGGCTTGCTACGATCAGAGGGGTTCATTATCTCGGCGCATTGTTTTCCAAAGCCTAAATGCAAGATAAGAAGCACGACCTCTTAGCATTGCAGTCGGACGCCAGCATGCAGAGATTGAACTTTGCATTCCTTTTTCTGGTCTTGTTTCTGAGACTGCGATGTAAGGCCAAGGCTGCTTCCGCCTTTCACAATAACGATGCAGCTCGATGCACGCCGATCGGCATTCACAGATTCCGACATCTTTGTTCACATATCTAACTATATCTGAGTAGAAGTAGCCTTGCATATCCGGAATCTGCTCATCGATATCTTACTAGTAGAATGAGGTAAACTCTCAAAGCGCATGCACCTACTCATCTAACTCATACTTACAATTTTTGTTGTTGGTTAACTGTATCGGTATAGCAATCTCAATCTATGTGTATACCACTATACTTACACCCGAATCTTGAACTTTCCAAACTCCATTTCCACCTTAGGACCTGAGCACACGTGATTGCAACCTGAGCGATGAATAAGCAGTCCTGAGCTGTGGCTGTACAAGACTGTTCTTAAACCCCGAACAATCCTGAACAGCCCTAAGCATCAACTAAATCCTTCGGGCGATGCCAGCAGTACGGTTGGCCGGGTCGTTGTGAAGCAAGGACTCAAACGTGTCAACACTGGTGCCGGATGACTGAGTTCGTAGTGTTTGAAGTACCATCATAAGATCTGTCGTTCGAGATCCGTGGAGCAGCGCCTGGAGCGTCTCAGGAGTGTGCACGCCTGCCGCTATCAAGGCGCCTCGTTGAGCTTCGTTGCCCATCACGGTCAGATTCAACGACGGCCGAGCTGTATCGGTGCCAAACAACGTACGATTGTCTTGACCAGCCAGGTTTGTTTTAATCATGACCTAGGGTTGGACGACTCGCTAGGTGTACGCCAAATGATCGAGACAATACTGTAGCTGTGTCCAATCAGCTTGGAGGACAGCTCGTATAGATGTACCAGCATCATCGATGGCTTTTCTAGTCTGCTCTAGTTGGTTCCCTAAGTTTTCTTTCGTTCCTTCGATCGATCGTTTTAGCTCGTCTAGTGATTCTTGTGTGGTCATATAATCGCGATTAGTGATATTAGTATCCTATCAACATAAAGAGCGCGTCGCTGCGTACATATATGTGGTATCAAAGGTGATTCTTACCGTGGATGTATAGCAGGCCATTATTACTCCGTACATACTTAAACTAGTCCCGAATGCTCTGGTAGCGATCCTTCGAGTATTTAGTGTATTCGTCAAGCATAGCTCGCCTTTCCTCGCAGGCGGACGTGCAACACTGCATCAATAGTCGTGTAAAATTTCCACATTGCTGAAGAGAGACACCTAGAAAACATGACGTAAGTGTCCAGTGACAGCAGGTCGAGAAACGGACTGGGTATGGGTGATGAGGGAGGACGAAGCAGCGGCCTAATCAGGCTGGCACAACCACGCTGAGGCTGAGCCGAAGTTGAGCTAGGTCACCTGATGCCTGAGTAAAGCGGCAGGGCCATGGCGCGAAACGAGTGCCAAGGCCAAGCACTCTAAATACCAAACTTCAAGTTCAAGTTGTACGGAGTACACTGAGTGAGGGGATAAAAATGAAATGCGTTCAATTCCTATTAGCGCTTTGATGGTTCAGTCATTTTGTCTCTTTTCTCACTCTACGACGAATTAATTTCCGCTCGTTTAAGGATCTTATATAGAGTGACCACATCTGCTACACTTGCTGATGAAAATCCTGCCTTTCCTCTCATCGAAACTTGCAACAACATGGCTGAACGAGATTGAAAATACAATATGAATTGATAATGCTGACATAAAGCTAGGGATTAGGCTGCTCCAGCTGTGGTCTGGACACCTTCCGGCCTTGGTTTGCAGAACGTCCCTCCGATGCTGGCTTCGGAGGCATGCTTTCTCCCTGCTGGGCTGGAAAAGTAGTGCTACGGGACGAACCTAGAGGACCTGCTGAACCAGCTCTGCGAAATGACTGAGCACCCGCTCGTGCCTTACTGTGAATATCAGGCAGGCCCGCGGAAAATGCCCTCTCCGCCAAGGTTGGGCGCGATGGTTTCATTGGCGCAGTTGGAGTCGCTACGGCTTGACTCGTTGACCTATCTGGATAGATCTCCATGGGGCTGCTGTTGGATCGTTTTAGTATGTCTCGGACGTCTTGTCGGAATGCCCGGTTGTAGACGACCTGGGCGGCGAATTGTTGCTGTTCAATGTCAGAGGCTTGATCGCTTACTACTCGCTTCACAAGGTCCACTGAGTAGTCATGGCGTTAGTCAGCGATTGGGGAAAGATTTGGATACTAAATAGTGTACATATGGATTAATATGCTGCGGGTTGGACATACTTAGGTCGTTGCTGGCAAGCGGAGAACCAGATAGCTCGTCATTGTTGGACATGGTGATGCTGGCCAGTCGCTAGAGCTGCTATGACAAGTCTCGTCGGTTGGGGGGCAGGGATCGAGGAATACCTGACTGGTTCAATAGCTATTGGTTGAGTAAGACAACTATGGATGTGGCAGCAGACTACCAATAGGACAAACATGAGTCTGTACTCATGACGACGTCCCTTATACTTATCTCTCTGCTGATTCAAAGGTTAAACATGCCTCTCCCCATAATGCCCAATCTTTGTCACTTGGTGTTTCAGATTGTATCAAAACTTCAGACGTTGCTATGCATCCCTGCAGATTTGTTGAAGGTACGGAGTCGTGCCCCAAAAGTAGTCAAAGTGTGCTAATATTAGCGCGTCATTGGTGCTGCTTAGCTTAGATCTAGTACACACACTAATTTGCATGGCGGCCTGGTGAGCCCTAAGAGCTGCCTATGACAGTTGAGCTGCACTGATATTGATAACAAATTCAACAATAGCTTTATACTGATTTCGACTGCGAATTCGACTGTGAATAACTTGTGTATCCCCTGTGAATTATCTTTAAATTTAACACCTTACTTGTTACCTAATTTAAGGCATTTAGAGCTTAAATAATAATACAACAGCTGCAGAAACTCTTCTTTATAGTTATAGCCTCCTCAGCTATTCGAGCATACGCATACACAGACCGGAGGGCGTTCAGGGCTACAAACGCAGCTGGGCAGGTACTAGGGTCCAGGGCAAGCTCTCAAAACTGGAATTTATCGATAGAAAAACTCAATACCAAGTAGAAGAACGTGAGAATAGTAAGGAGGAGTAATTCTGTTCTACATCCCATACAAATTAGTATAAGTGCTAGAACAGCTAGTCTGGAGTAGTCTCCGGCGCTAATATTAGCGCACTTTTACTACTTTTGGGGCACAACTCCGTAGACATGTGTCTAAACGGCATTAACTCGTCTTACATTAGGTTAAAACAGGTTGGAACAAAAGGATCTCCGGGCCGTACTCTAGCTTTTGTCTGACAAAACGGGTATCTTAGAGAATTGTGTGAGAGTCAGATCTTGTTGAGAACGTTATTAAAGAGTCCCATATCTGTCAGCTGAAATCGTCCTAGGCAAATACTTATGACTTAAGGTTCGGATCCTAATAGCGCTGGTATGAAACGGGTTGATTGGATAGCCTCCCCCCTTCTGAGCTTTAATAATCGTCCTCCGGACCGTGGCTCCTGCTTGAGTGCCTACAGGTAATGACCTCCGGACCTTTGGCCTGGCCACAACAAAATCTTCCCTTCTTGGGCAACCTTCGCATCTGAAAAGTCCTGCTTATTGTGCTCTCCAGAATCAATTCCAGTTCTATTTATCAGGAATCAATCTTGTCCCTGCAAACAAAGTCCCTTGGTCAAAGGTGATAGTTTCCCGACTGGCCAATGGCCCACTCCACGGCCGACCTTGCAATTTGGGGGCTGGAGACTTATTGGTCAGCTCCTGGAGGAGATGGTTCACGCTTTGCCCACCTTGTCCCCTACCACTTCCTGGAGGGTTGGGGCGTCTAGCGTCAAGAGCCATGAGACCGCTGTATTTTCAGCCGCTCTGTCGGGCTTAGAATGTCATTTGGGCTCCGCCAACATACTGTACGTTATTTCTTCTTACGCTTGAGGATCACCAATCATAAATCGAGCCTGCTTGGTTTCATTGTCTCTCATACTAATGGAGAAGCCCGGTCTAGCTATCGGAGATATTCAACCTAGATCGCGCCGAAACTCCGTGGCCTCTTTGTTCGGACCCCCTAGGTTGACCAATGCAACACCACGACAAATTGACGCTCCCGGAGCGTCTTCGGCACCTGGTGGGGATGATCATAGCGCAGAGAAAGTGGCACCTCCAAATCTTGCAAAGACGCTGAATAGACGACTCAAAAAGGGCTCTCAGCCTATCATTGAAAGCGTATCCCAGAAACTAAACGTCAAAATCCTCGAAGTCATTCAAAGTAACTGGATCCCTAATGATGATGGGAACCAGGAGAAGATCTCTTTGATTGGTGAACTTACCAATCTGCAATCTGCCAGTATCGAAGATGGATCTTTTCGATGGATGTATGTTTCGATACTTCGCGATCTCCCGGCTACTCTAACCTCGTCTAGTCATTTTGAGCGCGACACAGCATCGATAAACTTCGCAGATTTTGAAGTGCGCGGACCAATTTCGTTATGGGTGAGAAGTTCGCTGATTGCACCTAGAAAGTTTTGAATGATACCCGGGTCCTCTACACACATGAGGCTGCAGTCGCCTCAAAATGTCTCAAGGAAGTAGCCCTGAATCGACGAACTTTTGCGCGAGGCAAGTACTTCGGGCCTTATATTCATCAGGCCTCTTTGCCTTATGGAAGTGAGGTCGAAGTACTCCCCGTTTCAGCCACATTCCTAAGCTTCCCCATATTCGCTTTAATGAGTATCCCACACTACGGGGGAGATGTGCACGCCAACAGCCGAAATCTTCGATCCTCAGACCAACATCCTATACGATCGCTTTTGCAGTATTCCAACATCCTAGCCAAAACGACCAAGCGCGATACACGCCAGGTAGTCACACGCGACGAGGTCGAAGACGATGGTCAAGCGCCCAACCATGATAAACCCTTCATCCATGTCCCAGAGATCTGGGCGCTGGTGATCAATATGTGTAAGCCAGATCTCGTTCTGATATTTTGATCTACCCGCTGACGTCAACTAGACACCATCATAACTTGTGCCCCATTTTCACTGGATGAATTGTGTTGCGATAATGTCAAAGTCCATAACCCGCCAAGGCAGGATCAAAAGGTGCTAGTCAAGTACACCGACCTTCATGGAAGGCTCCATGACTTTCGCTGCCGCACCTGGTTTGTATGGCCTGCCCAATCACTTCTCACTGTCATATTCCTGTCGCCATTGGGTATGCCAGGATGTCCGTCGACTGATTACTAACTGAAACCCAGGGCTTACTTGACATTGTATCCTCGATCGAATCCCATGTCGATAAGATGAAATCCTTGCTCAATAATCCGGAATCCCAATACAAGCTGATCGACCCAAGATTTCGACCTATCGATAACACTAGGTGGCTGGAGATTGTCGAAGCTACTGGTGCACGAAGTGTCAACGTACGTGGTGTGACGCTGCTCGAAGACAGTGCCTTGTCACTGGACTTCGCCGAACGAAAATTGCGAGCCTCAATTCAGGGGACATTTGTCCTTCTCGGGTATGTACGGAAGCATTCGCCAGGCACCATTAGACTGCTTGTAGACATTGACTACCTCAGATCCTAGACTGATACTTCTATAGCTACTCTGTCACTCTCAGGCGACTTCGAGAAAGAGCCATGCGTTTTCAGGTCGAGAAGGTTGAGCGAGCAAAACAAGATCAGGTCAAGAAGCGAATTGCTCTTCTGTCGAAGGAAGCGAGAAACATCAAGCGAAGTCGCCATTTCAACCGCTTTCTACTTTACGCGACCCGAAGCCAGATCTTAGATCCCCATGCGTCAGATGCATTCAAGCAGACGGAAGCACAAATACCAATCGGCCAGACGAATCGATCAACAACAGGATCTACTATTGCGGAGGATTGTACTGATCAGGTCAGTCCTTATTCAACTGGCTAATCTGATCAGCGCACTGATAGATGTTTCTAGCGGAAGAAGAACTCAAACCCTCTCGAATCGACCGCTGTAGTCAGACATCTTCCCGAGGTCTTCGAAAACAAGTTGAAAATCCCTACGATCAAGGTTGACACGCAAGAGGACGAACAGACAAGAACGGGCGCGCCGAAGATTCAACCAACGACCCCTCGGATCACTCTGAATGACGAGCACATAAATCAAAGCCCAAAGACGTCAGCGGCTCTGGTGCTGCCACCTCCAGTAGCGGCATCTGGGAATTCAGAGCCTACTCGCAAGAAGTCTCCGTCATATCAGTCTATCGTAACGGATGACCTAGAGGCTCAACGCTCGCCTGTGGAAGCATTCGAAGATCTCGAATCGCAGCGGAGGTCGCGACTGCACTCCGTCCTTCCTCTGCAGAAGCACTCGTCACATGCCGAATCGTCTTTAGGGCTGGCAGGTCCCTCAATTGTGGATCCTCTATCAGCCGACTCTCTTGGACAGGGCGTGCAAGATATGTCGCATCTCACTTCATTACCCCACATCACCCCTGAGAACTCCTTGTCACAAGGAATTCGACGACCAACCCAAAAACAGGCCTCTCTCCAGGATACAGACTCCGTCGATTCGAAAGTCTTCCCTGCCTCCCCGCCACGCTTACCTTTGAGGCCGGAAGGTGGATCCACCATTCTACGTTCCGAATGGAATGCTCTCAATTCGAGCTCTTCACAGAGTGAAAGCGCCGAGCATCCTTCATCTGAAGAGTCCCCTAACGTGAGTCACAGCCAACAGCAGCCCAAGAAATCGAGCGCTGAAGTTCCCACGACAATTTCTGAGAAAGTTCGAAGTAGATCTACATTCATAAGTAAAGAATGCCCCCCTTTCTTTGAATGGCACACACAGGGCATGCGCCGCAATGAATCGAGGTCCAGGTTGGGTGAAACAGTACCCACTAGTTTCGATAAGACTCTGGATGATGCCAATTCTTTCGCCCCAAGTAGCCTTTATGGGACCGAAGGTATCTTGTGTTCAATCGAGACTGACATTCGAGAGGGAAGATACTATGTGCCCACTGTCTTTGCTGTCAATTCTGCAAGTTTTGCAGATGTTCCTCTCAAGGAAGAGGCTGATGTCATTAAATTCCTGGAGAGCGAGCGAGATAGAATTATTCGATTCTCGCATCCTAAGGAAGAACATGCAAGAATGGCGCATGAAATCTTTCTGGAGCAGAAGCAACAGCTTTTTCTATCCAGCTGCGGAATATTGCGTTGTTTTGTGAGCTCCGAAAGGAGAAGCCCTGATATCATCGGCAAATTTTGGGGTATATTACATTTGATATGCTGCATTCAACTGAAGAAGGTGAACTTGCTCTTGATTGAGTTCATTCATGAAACTGACACAATCAGGCCGGGGCGCTCCCATATCCACAGAAGAATGACACCACACTGATTCAGTATGCCGCAACACAGTTGGAACAAATTGAACAAAAGTGTAATCAGCTTTTGCTTGACGGCAGACCCGAACCCACCAATGACAAATCTTCCCCAAACTGGCGCCTGCCTTCGGCTTTAACGCCAACCTTTCGCGATATCGTGCTGTTTCTACTATGCATATACTTGGCAGTGACTGATCATGGAGTTGACTCAATGTCTGTACATCACATTCGCGACAAAGTCCTCGGCGACTTGGCCGAATCCGAAAGCGCACTGCTTCGGCTATCTGAACATGCGGAAATGGAACTTGACCAGAGTGGTCACGAATCGATCAGGACTGCCGACACAATCCTTGAAATCTTGGTTGAGAACGCAATGTCATTTTCGACTAAAGAGGAACTTGACAAGAAGGGTCGTGCAAGGCTACCCTTTTTCGATCTCGTGCACATATACAGCAGTTACACTTCCAGTTGTGTAAGTATGGCCTCGCCTGGGGAGAAAGCCAGTACTGACCGCACACTTGCTCAGATCTTCCGCGCGAAGAGGGACGCTAGCGCTCGTGTATATGAGGACGTGCGACTCCTCCGAGAAGAAGTTGAGACCATCAGTCTTATGCTTAAGGATCAAAAAGACTTGTTTCGAAAGGTGCTAAAGGCTAGAGGAAGTACTCCTGAAACGCTTGATAAAAGGCTCACCCACCGCATACAATCCAGTCTTGATGAAACTATACGTCATTTTGATACTCTGAGTGTTTATGCTGTTCAGGCAGAATTTTGGGTACGTACTATTCATCTAGCCAGTTTTAAGAAGAATCTGCTGATTTGGAATAAGACCCGCAACTCTATTGAGGTAGGTTTGATATCGCTAGACAAACATTGTTCCCTTGCATTTTGGGTTTACTTACCTCTTCGCCTCACAGGTCAAAGGTGAAGACAACAGCAAAGCAATCTACGTCTTCACCGCTGTCACAGTCATATTTCTCCCCCTCACTTTTATCGCAGGCCTCCTCGGCATGAATACAGTCGATATTCGTAACGAGCAGGATTCACAATGGCTCTTCTGGGCTATCGCCCTACCCTTCACGTTTACAGTACTTATGATCTGCCTTTGCATTGCGAAGCTTAACTTCAGGTTGCGAAAATTCGTCCGTTCCGTTCTCCGCAAAAGTGGCGTCCTCCGGAAAATAAGGAAGGGGTTGGGAATTTTAGGGAGGAGACTCCTCCCAGAGAAATGGTATAGACGTGGAACGAGGAGGGCGGCTGATTGGATTGATAGTGTGAGAGATGAGGCTTAGACAAGTCACACAAATAAGCATGTCACAATACAGCGACGTCTAAGGGACATGGGACTCGCATAGGATTTGAATACGTGGACTGTGATATTCAGATCGTCCACATTTACCAAAACAAGATATAAGCACCAGAAGTAGCCAAAATAGGTTTGGATTTGGTCCTGGCCTTATGCGCAGTCTCGAGTGGAACTTGGAACTGCCTGAATCAACGAGGGTCAAACATTTTAGCGGAGGGAAAATTACGTAGCTATCAGGAGGGTAAATATAGATATCCTTACCTTAGTAAGCTTCAGCTTTCAAGATGAGGACTCTCACCTATTGGTAGCTGTATGTGATATTGTACAGGGACGGCATCATCTATTAGTCAAACTAGTGGTGATATCGTTCAATATATTTAGTACGACGCTACTAAAGTCAGAGCTTTGTTAGTGCTTAAGGAGTGTACTTACAAAATGCCTCAAGATAGTCTCAAATTGTAAGCGCTTGTGCCCCCTAGTAAAACAATACACTGCTTTTAGGTTGCATGCAGTGAAATCGGTATAGTATACAGAATCTTATAGCAGAGGCGGTCTGTTCCGGCGTCAAATCAGTAATCATTATTATATGTCGGTCGGTTTCGACCCGTGCCGAAGTTATCGGTAATGATACCCTTACAAGACTAAAAGGGAATCCTGAAGGATTGAAGGATCAGCATGCCTGATGCAGAGAGAGCGGCCGCGGGAAGTGGAGGCTCTAATGCTTAAAAGGCATCATCGGATGCATGACGTGCGACGTGCTTCTCATGCGGCGGCAAACGTGTCGGAATATCATTGGCGGACACTGCGAGAAGGAGTAACTGGATGACCCCAGGGCCTCTCCGAAAGCGGACCCCCCGGCTGTGGGAACATCATTGGAGGACAAGGCAAGAAGGAGTATATGGATGACCTAAGCCCAACAGAATGATCTCAAACCCAACTGGATGACAAGCCCAACTGGATGACCTTGAGCCCGCCATAAATTCTCCGTTCAGACCCTGCTATCCTTCCAAGTGAATCCACAGTTTCGACAGCCCGCCGCACAATGTCTCACCATCCTGATGCCGCAGAAGAGCTCTTCGACCAGATGGGAGAGACATACAAAGATGCTTTTGCAGAGAATGAAGGCCTGTATCGAGCATTAGATGGATTGAAATCGTATCATGAATCTATATCAACTGTGCTGGACGTAGGATGTGGCCCTGGAGGACCAGCTGCTTATCTTGCTCAGCAAGGATACAGAGTCACTGGTATTGATATTTCTCCAAAGATGGTGGACTACTGCACGAAGCATATCCCTGGAACATTCTTAAAAGTCTCTATGACTGAATACGCTCCAAGTGAGAGATTCGACGCCGTGATCTCAACCTTTTCGTTACTTCAACTCCCGTACCATTCTGTCTACTCCATGCTCTTCAAGATGGCATCGTGGCTACGCCCAGGTGGAATTTTCATCTTGGGTACGGTCGACCCCGAGGGAAATCGCGGCGGAGAGGCTATGCAGGGCGTGACATCCGATTACGTGGAAGGATACCCTGTGCCTTTCATGAATACTACCGTCGCACTCACTTTGATCACGACAAAGGGGCTACTCGCAATTATCCAGCAGACCGGCCTTGTGATTCGCAGCGTGGAAAAGCATACGTTCATGCCCACAACCGGAGAACAGGAGGAGCATATTTTCATCACAGCTCAGAGGACTACCTAAGAGCCACTCTATGGTTGAAAAGCGGGCAGAGATCGGCTGCGTCAGTATTAACAGGTCTTTGGTATCATGGACATAAGGAGCAAAAGGCGATGGAGAAGGCCTTTAAGCCAGGTACTTCGAACGTATTTCGCGGGTTAGGGATATTAAGTAGGTGACTAAGCTGCTATTATGTTGATTGCAGAGCCTAGGCAGTGAGTGTCATGCGCCTGCCGTGCGCCAAGGATAGGAGCAATTGACGTACAAAAGGCGCCAAATGCACATAAATAGAATCAACACACTTCTACCACCAAATTCAGCGTCATTTTGCGCCTTTTTTGCGTTCTTTTCTTCGCCTCTTTCTGTTTGGCCGTGGTCGTCTAACAGTGAAATACATTCTTTTTTAAGTTTCTTTGTTTATCTATAGGCACATCTCGGTAATCTTCGCAACCAGATTATATATACAGTACGGTTTGCGAACTACATTATCTATATCAGCTGCTAGCATCTCGCTAATCTGCTCTTCTCGGATGATGGCTGTAATCCTAATAACTAGAATTTCATTTATAGACATATTGTCCTTAGAACATTAGCCGTATTTCGCTTGTTCAGTGGCTTGATATGCCTATCAGAGCTGCTGCGGTGTATTTTCTAGCGCTTAAATCTTATGTGTAGCTCTGTTACCATCTAATACTAGCATTTCCTAATCTGTTAGAATAACGTGAAATTCTGTTTTCTTAATTGCTTCAACAGCTTCGCGGTCGTAGTTAACAATAGTAAAGGCAAACTTTTTCATAACACGCTTACACGTAAGAATGTATTAGTTGATTTTGATGTAGAATTAAGGAAGTTTGAAGTCTAATTAACAAAAACGTCATACGTACTAAATCATTTTTTGATGTTCTTATGCCAAGATTTCTGCATGTTGATCGTGCTGATTTAAGCTTAAACTACGGGAACATGATCCTAATGAGGAAGGCGGCCCATTTAGTGACACGAAGACTAGAACGCTATTTCTCAGAGAGGGCATGTTTTCGGGCCGTAGGTTCACTGAATAGGACCCTGTCAGAGCATCGTGTGGAGTTGGTTGAGTTCATGAGACGACAGGCATGGGCAAGGGCCAGGTATCCAATGATGATAAGGCGCCCAAACCGGGACTGAGCACGGGTGAGGTGAGGCTGGATGAAGCCTGAGCAAGAAGGTGAGCAGAGGACGTCAAGGCCGAGCTGTGGCGGTGCACGGATGAGCGGAGGCTGAGTCGGAATTGAGCCGGTAAAACCGGTAAGTGTTTAATACTCCGTAATGGCCCAACCAAAAGACGGCAAGGAGCTTGGTCACCCATCCCCCCGCTTTAGGGAAAACTGGTAGCCAAAAAAAAAGTCACACCTCGCTTTTCCTGCACAGCAAGGTGATTGATGGAATGAGAAGATTGTGATGAGGATAAGTATAGTATAGGTAAGGAGTCAGGACTGTGGTGGCAGCGTTTCGTTTCGCTTTGTTCTTCTGGATTTCGGATTCAGCTGTCTCGGATTTCTTCTTGACTCTTTTCTGTCTCTGTCCCTGTCGCTGTCTATATCTATATCTGTATTCATACCTGTATGCTGGCCCATGCTGTCTGTCTATGCTTGCCCATCAAGGGATATCATAATTTCGACTTCGCCGCCAAACTCGAGTCCTCCTGGCCTTGGCCCTGGCCCTGGCACAGGTCATGTCGCTGCTTTTGCCCGTTCTTAATTTCCCCGTTCGCCTGCATCACGTTCTCACCTTCTCCCCCCTGCAGACTCGGCTCCTCGTCTTTCTTCCACGCCCTCACCAACTCCTCCTCCTTCTTGATATACCTCTCCCTCTTCGCCCTTAACAAGCTCTCTACATCTTCACCACTTAACTCCTGCTTGAGCTCATTCCACTTGACTTCGCGCTTCACAACTGGATCCTTAAAAGCCACTGCCATAGTGGCCTTCCCCCTTCGCCTTCCCCCCGCCTCCTTCTCCAAAATCCCCACATCTCCTGCTTCCACGATGAATTTCCCCCAACTCTTTATAGACTCCCTCCCCATTGGACTCTTCGGAAAGATCATCCCAAAACAATGCGGCATGCCCTCATACGTATCAAACTGCACATATACTCCCGCCTCATCCATGTGTCTAGCCACAACCGCGATCTCGTCTTCCAGCGCCTCCGTCCCGGCACACATGTACGTGGGCGGCGCACCCCTCCAGAGCTCCGGTTTCGCCGCTACAGGCGAGACGAGGGGATGAATGAGCGCGGTTGCGTTGACGTACATGTCCACCCTGGGCGGCTGCGTTGGCCATATGTCATCGGACGGCAAGTCGGCGGCTAGACCAAAATCCGGAGGTGGCATGAGGTAGTCGTAGGTGGCGTTGGTATGGCAGGAAGGCATAGCGCGGCTGATGTCGCACCAAGGTGAGCTCAGAGCGATTCCGGCCGGGGGGGAGAGGGCGACGTCGCGGCCATGGAAGCGGATTTTGCGGATTCCCTTTCGTTGGAGCGTTAGGAGGGTCTGGCAAAGGGATAGACACAAATTCCCGCCTGCGCTGTCGCCTGCGAAGACGATGTTGGAGGGAGATACGGCGGTGTGGTAGGAGTCTGAGGGTGGGGAGAGGAGAGACAGGTAGGCGATTAGGCCGTCGAGGATTGCGGTGGGGAAGGGGTGTTGGGGGGCGAGGCGGTAGCGGACGGAGAGGCAACGGCCGGAGGTCAATTTGGCGAGGTAAGAGACTGGGAGGCGGTGCGATGCTGGGTCCATTGCGCTGTTTTAGCATGTCAGTAGCTAGAGGACTTTGGATTGCTGACTACGTACACGTATGCACCGCCATGAAAATAGAGGACCGTCACCTTTGATCGGACCTCAGACATCAACTGTCGGTATTGCTCTTCCTCGGAAATGTCGGGTCTTGGGGCGTCGCTGTCGACTCCACCCCGATAGCCAGTCCATTCTGCTTCCACGGCTGAGGTCTCCGGCAGCCTATATGTCTCGGACCCATCTCCCAGATCCTTGATTGCCATGTCCAGCGCATCTCTGGGTCTTATTCCTTCATGATCCTCCGGTTTTGGCAGTGTAATCTTCGAGATCCACATCTTTCCTTTGATACCAGGATCTCTCAAGCCTCCCCTTTGAATTTTGCCGATCGGATTGGGTTTCTTGAGCAGCTCACGTATCACAGACACGGTGAGCTCTGTGCGTAGATCTTGTTTTCCGGCATTAAGTGAAAGGGAGAGAGTGTTCAAGACTGCTGTTTTCAGGAGTATAGGAGTTACAGGTAGTAGCACCTTTGCCAGGGTCATTGGGCTAAGATCCATGGTGGTCGGAGACGCAACGCGCGGGTAGGCAAGATGTGGTCTTGAGTCAAGTCAGAACTGAACCTGTCGCCAGCGTGGGTAAGAGTAGTTGATGTTAATATCCAGACATCAGGCATCCAGGAGCTTTGGCGTGCTGTGAGGGCAAGAGGAGAGACTTGTGTCAGTGGGCAAGTAACACGACTATGTCATCACTTGACAGCTCCAGACACTCCGACCATCTTGAACCGAGGTCCATGGGCGCCCCATTCCTTTTCAATGCAGTTATGCCGCAGAACCCTCATTCTGTCTCAGAGTATGTGGGCTCTGGGGCGGGGAATGACATCAGAAACTGAGATGGTGGAGTGAGCGAGCTGTGGTGGAGGAGTGGTACCACAGGTATGAGGTCTATTTGGGGAGGTGAAAGAACATGTCAGACACAAGCTATTATTCGGTCCTTCGAGGGCCGCGGTGTTTTGGTCCAACAGAACAACATATAGGCTGGTTTGCCTAGATTGGTCTACGTACTACTATACCAGCATCTAATTATTAAATAGATCATTAAGTATAGGAGGTCCTCTCTCTGGACTTGTTTACTGCATCTCCCCAGCAGAAGAATAATAAGCATAAACGATTGTGATTGGCCAATTGATTGAGGAAGACTGTCCAAGATCATACAATGTCCAGGTCATCGTCTTGCTCCGCCTGTTTACCTCCCATGCTCTCTCGGCCAGCTTCCCGGATACCCTTTTCGGTCAGAAAGCGTGTTTTCTTCATAGGCGATAGTCTAACCGAGTCGGCAGCTCGCTTCCCGTTTGCGTTCCTATCAGAGGCCATGATGTTATCCTTGGTCGCCATGGCCGATCTCTTCCTTCCTGCTTCATCATTCGTGCTCTCAGAATTATACGTGCCACCCGGGTTGGGGGCGATGCGGTGTCTGAGATATTCCCCTCCTGCTCCTCCTGAACCCATCGAAGTCAGTCTCAGCGCAATCTCGCGTTCTTTCTCTTCGGTCAAGAGTCTTTTCCTCAGGCGTGATTCTGTGTCCCTGGACAGCCTGCCCTCAGCAATGAACGGATCATCATCATCCAGCTCCAAAAGGCTTGCTGCGCTTCTCTGGAAGAATTCGCCGGGCTTCGCACAGTTCATCTTCCTCTCAGATTTGCTAGGAGCAGTAATAAAATAGCGACTCTGTGATTCTGGATCGAATTTATAACCTGGGTTGCTGGATTGCACTCGTCGATCTGAGTACCGTCCATCTCGGGCGCCAGCGCCTAAGCGATCCCTCAATCTACTGCCTGCCACATCACGCCCAATGGCATTTGAGCCAGTGTTGACACCCATGCGACCAGCTTGTGTCTTAGTAACCTGCGCGTTGAGATGCCACTCGCAAATCTCAGTCTTAACTAGATTCACCCAGCTTCCGCATTGCTGACCATCTTTCTTGACCGCAACACAGAAGCCTAGATCTCTGGCAGTGCCTACTTCGAGAAGAGTGTCTTCGCCATGATGAAGAGTCAAGCTGAAGGCGCCCGTATCCTCCTTCCCCTTCTTGGGCGGCATTATTCCAGGATTTAAAATAGCCACCACAGTTCCTGGAGAGAGGCGATGATATCTTGGAACAGCAGTACCGAACAGATAGAGATCAACCGACCACGTCAAATCAGACAATTGGAGAACGATAAATCGCTTGTGGTTCTGGCTTCCATCTTCCCATTTGTCCTTCCAGTCAGAGCTGCTCTTACCTTCGGCGGAGGCATTTGCACCCTGCCTTGGCTTATGGTCCAAAGGTGTTGACTTAGATGCCACCACACCGACTATGACGACATCCTTCGCTTCAAGACCCGGAAGCTCATAGGCCGGCGCGGTGACTTGCTTGAGCAGCTGTGGTAGCCGTAGACATGTGTGAGTATCGGGAGGAAAGGTTCTTTCTAAAAATGAATGTGGCAAAATCCGAGAGGATAGGTGTAGCTGACTGAATGGATCATACAGCGCAGGGTCCCCTTTTCGTGGGACCGCTGCTGCTTCATCATGCCGTCCACCCTTTAATGATTGACTTCCCTGGTTGGCTGTGTCGGACATTACAGGATTGTTTTGGTTTGTCGAGCTTGAGCTTGCGTTATGGTCTCGGAGGTTGGGCAACGTGGAACTGTGCTTCAGAATACCCGAATTAGGAGCATTTCCACGTTGCGATCTTAAAATATCTTCTCTGGTATAAGTTGCACACTGGCGATCTTTTAACGGGGACCGAGGGGGGTTATGAGTACGGGCTTCTTCAGCTGCTTTTTGATAGCTCTCCATTTCAGCACGATTTAACTTGAACCCAGCACCTCTTTTGCTCGCAAGTGCTTCACGTCTCTTCTCTTGGGTATGGTCTTTAGCACGGTTTTCTGTGATTCTCTCGCTGAAAGTTTTGATTGGTCGTTCAGCTTGATGTCGTGACCCGCTCTCTTGGAAAAATTCACATCCAGGCATTGGAGTCCTGCCAGCGGCTGTGCTACCGTTCGTTCGATTGCTCCCCAAAGTCCCATTTTCTCGAATGCTTCTCGCTCTGCGTAATGAAACATCTGTGGCCTTGACGCCTTTGTCAATCCCAAGCAAGACTCTGCCAGGAGATCGCTGCTCAACTTGAGCAACAGGTCTCCTTGTTGGTGATACTGGAACCTCAACACTGTCGCATCGAAATCCACGATCATTATGGCTGGGCTTCGCTTTCCGAACACTACTGGCAGATGATTGAGGTCGATTTATCTGAGGCGGCTCCTTTGCTAGGTCTTCAAGACTGTTCTTCTCCCTGTTCTGCTGCAACTTCTTGAGCTTTAGCTTTGCTTCGATGGCTGCAAGTTTGAGCTGCAAGGTCTCTTCATCATCTTCCACTTCGTCAACCTCATTCGTATCTTCGTCTTCATCGAGCAGCTTTCGAGAGATGCGTTGTATGTCTGGAGCAGTTGCAGAACGCTTTACAGGAGAACGAGAGCGTTCTCTACGGTCTTGATATTGCTGGTACTTTCGCCTCCCACTGGGCGAACTGAGGAGCGCAGCATGCGGCGATTTGGGAGGCCATGCTCTCTCTACCACTGACATGCTTATCAGCTCTGTAGTATTTTCCTGATGCTGCCGCTCATAGTAGAGATTCGTAGGCTGTAGGATCCTTCACATTCCCGTCTCCCCACACCGTGCTGACAATTTTCTCGTAAAGTGGACAAGCCGCAAAGTTCGGCGATATTTGTGGGAATAGAGCTATCTCATACGCATCAACTCAAGCAACTCCTATTTGTGGCTGTTGGTTCAACCTTTTGACCTAACTAAATGGAAAAGAATATCGTAACTTAATTGGTGGGGGCGGGGGGGACTTTACGCGTTCCATTAGTTTACACGCAGCGCGTTGCGTCCGCGTCGAAAATCTTGGCTCCCTTCATCGGCAGTTCGATCTCTCAGATCAACTTCTCAGCAGCAGAAGTATATAACCAACTACGTCAACTATCTGGGTCATGGGCGTCCACACCAGGTCCTCTGCTTCTAGCAGTCCTGTCAAGTTGGAGGTCCCAACGAAAGTCGCCTTACCGTATGCCGAAGGAGAGCCATACAGCACATTCATCCTTCCTTCGAATACCTCTAGCGACGCTCGCTTTGTGTTGCTCCAACATCCTCGAGATGGCGCACGACGTCGCTTCTATTTCTGTCCTTCGAAAGGTATCTACGAGGTCACTAAGATCAGCGCCAACATGCACGATCTAAGAAGCATTTTGTTTACGCCAGACCGTGACGTGACCACTTTGCAGGCTGGGAAAGTTGAGGACGAGCTACATGAGACAACAATAATCGAAAAGGAGGTCGCATCGAGTGGCATTGCTTCAACTGCAGAAAATAGCCCGTGTCAAGGCTATGTCAACAAGACTGCGGAAATATTCGTCGCGACTCCATTCGACCCCGTTTTCATCCTTCTCCCGCTTCTGGACCAATCAGCGACAAGTTCAAGAATACAACCTGGAGACGGACTTTTCCGCCCCTTTGACGATATCCTTGATGAGCATCAGGGAGACGACAGACACCTTCGTCATGTTCTGAATAACCCAACGTTTCGACCAACACTGCTGACAGCTATGAGCCACGTCTGCGACACAGTCGACGCTGGAGACGAGCATATGTATCGCCTGAGTATGCTGAAACTGTACAATTTTATATTCAGTAAGGCACGCAAAGCGGTTGAGAATGGCTTGCCTGCCAGTATGGAGGAGCGCTTTGTTACACGAAGTCTGGAAGTCCCCATGTTGGGTGTTAAGCGAGTAGAAAGTGGAGTATCATGCTCCACCAAGGAAACCGATGCCGCAGTGGAACGTCTCGTCCCGGACATGAGTGAGTCGCAGTCGAGTATTGCTTCGTTAAGCACGTCCGCTAGTATCTCTGAAATATCATCCATATCATCTGCCACGAGTATCGGAACAGTCGATCATGCTCCTTCGGAAGGTCTTCGCTATTTGCAGAGACTACGAACGGCGATGTCATTCATTACGACATCTTACCTCAATCCTATATTGAGCACAAAACTGGCAGAGATGTCCCGTGACGGCAAAGCATTGCCAGATTTCGCTCCATTGGACGAGCACCTACAACATGTAGCAAAATTGCGGGCAGAAGCACTTGCCACACGTTCTCTTTCTGACTTTAGTAAGAAGAGAAATTTCGATGAAGATGGTGAAGCTGCCGAAGAAAGAGCGGACAAGAAACGCAAACAAGAGGAAGACGACAAGAAGAAGAAAAGTCAAGAGTCAAGAGGTGTAAGAGACCTTAAAAAGGTGAATGTATCTGGGATGAAGAAGATGAGTGACTTTTTTGCAAAGAAAGGGCCGACAGCAACATCGAAAGCGTGAGTTGTCAAGTCTTCGGATGATTGAGTCGACCACACAGCTCTTTCAATGCCCAGTATCCTGCAGCACAGATTAGCCACACGGACCTCGTCTCCTTGTTCCAAAAAGTTAAGATATGAGATTCCGGTGTGACGGCACAGGCTTAATGGCGTGATCTGTCCAAGCGCGCTACGACGGCATCCTTCAACGACAGCATTCTCCATTACTACAATATACGGTGATTGCATGCACCTGAACGGATTGCTTACCGAAGATCTGAATATTCTGCTCCTCAGCAAAAATGACCCAAAGCACAAGAAGCTTCACGTTGGTGGGTGTCATCTGGAGTACTAAGAGATGAGTAAATGAGATACTCTAGTGAGGTACAGAGAGTCTGGTCTCGTCAAGGTTGTCCAGAATATGACTCATCCTATGTGAAGCTCATTGACAATTTTGCTTCTGGACGAGTCTTTGAGCGATGCAGCAGATCAGTTGTGGATCAGTTGTGGATCAGTTGTGGATCAGTTGTGGATCAGAGTGGTTGATGTGTCCTTCTCGTACTGGCACTGAGCGGGAGACTTACGTTAGTCATCAAATGGTCTTGGCGTCCACCCCGAACCTGCAACAAAAGAAATTGAACCAAGTTCCAGTTAAAGTTCCAGATTCTCATCATTCATGCCATACCACGCTTGCTGCTGTGCAACTCCTATCCAGCTATGCAAGAGATGATCTAACAGTGTCAACCTCACCCTGCTTTGATGTCTGACTGGACTTTGTCGTTGTCAAGGCCGCCGCTGTCTCGAATCCTTGCCCATTGCGCACTAACTTAGTTGCAAGATTTCGAACCAGGGTGCCCCAGCTCCAGCAGGACATTCAACTTCCCGCAACTCTCCTTCCAGCTTTCGGCTTCCAGGCTCACCTCTGCCCTTTAATTGACAATGTCAAACTCCACGGCTGATGGCCGCCTCCATCGGTATTGGCCAGAAAGAAATCTGAATCTGTTTGAATACCAGCCAAGCGGTGATGCTACCTGGTACCATCTCGCCGATGCCAACACACTTATCTTCATCGGTGGTCTCTATGATTCCTTCCTTTCCGTACCCTACGTCCCATTACTTGCTTCATATATCCACCAAGTCCCTAATTGGAGTCTCATGGAAATCCAGCTGTCATCGTCTGGTGTTGGTTGGGGCACTGGTGATCTCTGCCGGGATGCTGAAGAAATTGCGAAGGCTGTGGAATACCTGCGAGGCTCTACCACAAACTCGAAGGCAGATACCGCTGTCACCAGCCCCACTGGCAAGATAGTCCTGATGGGTCTCAGCACAGGCTGCCAAGACGTTCTCCATTATTTGTATCACAACCCAGAGCAAAAGAGACCTCCGGTTGATGGGGCGATCCTCCAAGCTGCAGTCTCTGACCGTGAGGGACTTGTAATGATGTGTGAAAGAGACGAGCATGTCCAGCGGGCTTATGAGGAATGTCTGCGCATTTCCCTGGAGAGCCAAACAGAAGACTCGAATGGCAAGATATTCACTCTACCTCCCGAAACCACCTCCATTGTTGGCTGGCCAAGAGGCCTGGTTTCGTGCAAGAGATTCTTGTCGCTAGTGTCGCCTTTTTCTCCCGAAAGACCTGGCGATGACGACCTTTTCTCTTCCGACCTTTCGGACGAAGCATTGAGCCAAACTTTTGGAGCAGTGGCCAAATGTGGCCGGTTGACACCCAGCCCTTTGTATGGTATATCGATGCTCGTCATGCTGTCCGCAGAGGACGAGTACACACCACCAACTGTCAACAAAGGCGCGTTGATGAAAAGATGGGCAGCAGCGCTGGAAAATGGCCATGCTAAAATGGCACCTCCGTCTGGTGTGATTGCGAACGCATCGCACACCATTAAAGAGCATGCCGCACAGTTTGATCTTGTGTATAGGGTCTTGAGATATCTGGAATTGTCGATTGGGGGCGTCAAGGAAGAAACTTTCCTCAAGCTTGAGGAAAAGTTAAATCTTCTGGACAGCCAGAATCCAAGCATATAATGCAAAGAGAGTTAGTTCTGCCTTTCGCCTGCCAGGCACCGAAACATTTAATCCCACTAACTCTCTCCAATATTCATCTAGAAAGCCGGTGATCAGACGATGCACACTCAATACTTTCTCCATACTTTCTCAATACTTTCTCAATACTTTGTCAAGTGTCAACGGATCCTTCCGGCAGATCTTGGCGCTGATTCAGCATAGTCTTGGCACTGCCCGGGTCGCTTGTGGTGGACTCACATCTTTGAGGGCCGGCCTCTAGATGGTCTTCCTGGTCAGCCTAACAATGTGTTATCATAAGCATCAATGTCAAGTGATTGCGAGTGTTCTCCAGCGTCATGGTGTCCTCCACAGCCTCGTCCTTGGCTATGACAGCCAGACCACAAGGGTGCGCCGGACCGAGCGGTGTTGGAAAAGATCGGTCACGTCCTAAATGCGGCATTGAACACTGCAATTGAACCATGTGTCTATTCGTCTGCTCCGAAACCTATTCAGTACTGTGTTTGTCCCATTGACTGTTTGGCCCTATTGTGTTTGTCCTGTGGGTTGTTCAACCCTATTGTGTTAGTGCCATTGATGGCTCTTTGTCTGTCACTTTCCGATTGCGGACACCGAACTTTGTAGGAGCTCAGAATCGCGTGCAGCATCCAACGCTCTATCCTTGATCACCCTTCATCTGTGCATGCCTTGCCAAAATCCAGTTGCCCAATTCCTTCGTGATACTTGTCAGACCACTAAATACAGGCCACCGGGTTGCCTACCAACCGTTATTTGTGAAGCGCTCAGATTACAATGCCACCGAAACCGCGCAGCAAGAAGGTGCAGAAGAAGAAAGTCGGCTACTCCACCGTTCCACCCTTTCCAAGCCCCCCCGATTCTGTTGGCCCAGATGTACCCTCACCAAGACCTCCTCTACCAGGAGCGATATCTCAGCTTGCTCGTTCAGATCTACCAGGTTTGAATGCTGCTCCACCAATCGGCTTTCCAGCAGAATACAACATGTGCTATCGCAATGCGGTGTTATCCTTACTCATGAACATCACCCCATTCCTTGGATATCTCGACCACTTCCACACCCAAACACAGAATACAACTCAGAATGTGCTTGTTGAACTCGGCGAAATGGCAACAGCTTACTGGTCTAGCGGCTCCGATGAAGAGCGAAGAGACCGGCTTGGGGGTATCATCGACAAACTATGGGCTCATTTGCTGTACTTCAACAACGACGACATGGACACAGTCGGCTGGGGACCTTTCCTGGACTCCGACCAAAATGAGACACAGCAAGATGCTGGGGATTTCCTCGAAAATCTGTTGACCAATGCAGATGCCGAGTGCAAGTATAACGAGTAGGTTGACATCCCTTCCAGCACACCTATTCTGCTCCTGACAACACGGCAGACAAGCAAGAACCGAATACAACGCCATGGTCGAAGCAACATTCGAAGTCCGCACCGCATGTGCCGGCAACTGCGACAAGGTCAAAACGCGGCGCGAGCAACTCGACCGAACCCGCCTGTGGACCGTCAACATCGACCACACCAAAGGAGCCAGCGGCGGCACACTCGAAGACGCCATCCGCACTACCCTCACCAACGAGATCGACCTCACCTGCGCGAAATGCAAGCGACTCTCCAAAGAAGGAAAACCTGGCCGCATCTGGTACCGGCTGCGCGACGTGCCGGAAATCCTCTTCATCCGCATCGCGCGCTTCGAGCACACCAAGAGCGGCAAGAGCTACCGAAAAAGCAACAACGAGGTCCTCATCCCGGAGATCCTGGACCTGACCCCCCACCTCGAAGCGGCCTCCGACCAGCATGGCGGAGCGGACGCCGCCGTCGCGGCCGCCAAATTCCGCCTCTGCGGCACCATCAACCACGCCGGCACCATGCACAGCGGCCACTTCGTCTCGCACGTCCG